GTCTCCCCCCTGTCCATCCAGCCACTCTCATCAGTGTGCCCGAGATCTTGGGGGCGAAGAGCAGGAGGCCCATGAACGAACGTTTCCAGGAACCATTTGCGCGAAAGGGAAGAACCGAGCGTGACAGATGCTAGCTCTCAGCGCTAGGCGCGTGGCTTATTGGTACGAGTTCGGATCCGAAGCACACACAGCCCCAGACGCAGAGCGAGCTATGCGGCCTGAAACCACCATTGCGCCAGTTGGACGCATAGAAGTCTCCTTCGTTCTTCAACGAAAGTGCTCAACTAAGAAAGGTGCCAATATGTTCGTGAGCTATCAGGTCGAGCTAGGTATGGGGGTTGTGGTTGGGTGGACTGGCCCTGTGCTGGATGAAGGCTGGGCTACTTGCTGAGGACAGGTTCGACCGGACAGAACAGGTAAAGGCAGAGCTTGGCGTGAGTGATGGGTGACGGGTTCCTCGGTAGGTTCCATTCCAAGGGCCTGCGATATTATTGAACCAAGTGGCCACCGCTAGTTTAGCATGTGAATGATGACACTACCGGGTTGAGCACCCCGTATTTTCACCAGGTCCCCTGCTGAACGCGAGTTTGTGACTCTCCCCATCTCAGTTGGCTGGTAAAAGGCGCCGCTGTTTGCATTCTATTTGCTGCATTGATAACCGTTGGCAGCCCTTCCTGAAGGACGAGGAAGGTGGAGGCAGGGCTGCCGCTTGAGATAACGTGGAGGACATGCCGATTCCCACAGCAGCCTGAAGATGAAGCTTCTTCATGCTATCAAAAGGCCCTCATGTGTGCTACACTGAGCGAGTGAGCTGCGAGTTTTTGAGCTGTCGACGTTGACCAAGTTCTGGAACGTTGTGAAAAGTGATGATTGGAGCGACCTTCGTTAACAGAAATGCTTCCTTGATCCCTAGTCATGCCTCGAGTCCGCGAGCCAGCAAGGGCAGACAGTCGAACGTTGCCAATCATCGCCAGGAAGCTCTGCGGTCGAGATTGACCGGACCCCGCGAACTCCACCGAGCTGTCGACCAGTCCCATGAAGATTCCGGCTCCTCATCATTCATCCCATTTCCTCTTGCCCTTAGTAGACAAGCCGCAGAAAACTCGGGTGATAGCCAAGCGAGGAGGTCTGTACGAGCTGCCTAGGCTCCTGCATTCAGGCAATCATGCCCTTTTCATTAGCTGGAGCGCCAGCTGGATATATTAATTATGCAGATTGGCTGAGGTCGGACTATCCTCGACGTGACACCGATCCGTCACTGGTCGTTTGTAACTCTTCACGGATCAACATCGGTTGTTAGAGTGGCCCTCCAAATTCGTTCGCGAATATCCCCAAATCAGAGGTATGGCGGTTGTCACAGTTTAAGGGCGAGTATCTGTTTTCTGAAAGTTGTCTGGACGATTAGCCATCGCGTTCTGATTGTACGCATCGGCATTTATCCAGAAGCCATCAGTTATGTTGCAAGCCTTGGTGGCTGCTTAGGGCTCTTCGTTTCGGAAACCTCGAGATACTAGCCTCGTAAACCTAGAAGCCAGTGGAATGAGTGTGATATATCGCCCCTGGCCTTATCATGGGCTGTTTGCGTTCCAACGAAAAGGACCGCAAAGCCGGGCTAATCCTATACATGGCCCGTTGCTGCAGGTGCAGATGAAAAAGCAGGTTTTTCATGGATGGTATATCGGATATTAGGTTCTGCAAGCAATCCGTCGTGCTCGGATTCCATTCTCATGACCCCGTCTGGCGCTGTCGAATGGCCCATCTGGCCAGATGGCGCAATACCTGACGTTCAGCACCTCCAAGCGGGTGAGCGATAAGACAGGTTGTTTGGTGCTGGCTTTGTACGGGGAAGCGCTTGTTACACAGTAGAGCAGCGGGTTCCTGGTTGTTTCTTGCCCATCAAGCCAGCTGGAACAATAGCATGGTTCCACATTAGAAGGCTCGCCAACAAACATCAGACGGACGGCATGCGGAGCATGTACAGGCGAAGGCTGGCCAGCCCAAAAGTAGAACGTATAGTGGGCGTAGCTTGGCGGAGTGTCAGATGATTTAGCGCCGGCTGTGCGGTAAGGCGATGATGAGGCCAGAACCTTCGTCGAAGGCCCAAGAAGGCTTCGACTAGGTGGCATGGCGGGATGGCTGGTATTCTTGCTAGGGAACCGTACGGGGAGTGCTCAAGTCTCGCCGCACACACATCGACAAACATGATTCCTTGATAGCTGTACGTAAGGTAACACATCGCCATGCAGCCAGCAGGCATGCATAGTAGGCCTAGTGACTGACTAGATTGACCAACGTAAGCCCATCGACCAGGATACGGTTGGCGCAATGTCGCATTCCTACGACAGTAGTACGTGGTATCTGGGGTGGGTGACGCAGCGTTTTGAGGTACCCCAATGAGCGGCACTTGGTTTGGCGGGAGGTGTCTTTGTCAGACTCGGACTGCCATTAGACACAGGCATTTCCTTGGGGGAAAGAGAGAGAGAGAGAGACAGAGAGGAGAGAGGAAATGGGAGATGGCGACTGGGCCTCGACTACATAGTGAGGTGGAAGGGACTGGCACACTTCGGATCAAGGATAGCCACTACTCGACAGGCCCAGTCTGGAGCTTCCAGAACCGAATCCTAGCAGGCCTCTGTGTGTGTGGTCCATTTCCCGTGCGAGCGGCATCCACTGAAAGGCTAATCCTGGCGAGCGAGGGGCCCTTGAGACCTGGAGCGGTTGGAAGTTGGGCGGAAGTGAAGGAGGGGAAGGGGCGAGCATGGACCGGTGGGCAGGGAACCAAGCCAGGCGGGGTAGGGTACGGATATCCTGGAAGATGCCGAATGGTTGGAGACAGTGGCTCGACTGGGAGGACCAGGACTGAGGGATGAGGCACGTCGAGGTACAACGAGGTGCTTTGGCTTTGGTGTGCTGTTGGTTCATGGGTGAGGCAGCGGCACTGCGAGTGCGTTTGGTTAGCTTAGCTTGTTAGCACGAGTTGGCAAGGCGAGGAGGTGCGTTATCACATCTACACTAAGACGCAGAGTTGCCGAGCAGAGAAGAATACGTGCCGGCATCATGATCCTAGCTGCTCTGTTGTGCGGTGGTGTCATTTGCGTAGGTACTCTGTTGGTCGGCCGTACGGATATCCGTAAATCCGGAGGGACACAGGAAAGTACCAATGTACCGTGTGTAGTGTATGTGTGGCCGCTGGCCGACTAGCAGACCAAGCTGTGGAGTGATGAGCAGCGCAGCAGCAGCAGCAGCGTCCGCCGCCTGGGTGAGCTCGCTCTGGGGCGACGTGGCCAATGAGCGGTATCCGAGGCATGTCGACAGAATGAGATGCATGCAGAAAGAAATGGAGAGGGGATGGCCACGAGCATCTCACGTCCCTCTACGCAGACTGCCGCCGGACAATGTATGTACGTACATTAGCAGGCTGAGGTTCCCAGTCTAGCGTTGGAGGCAAGGGACAGCGGCTGGGTCCTCTCGTCCTTAGCTTCTTAGTGCAAGTGTTAGTGTATGCCACTTCTGGTGCGGACAAGCACTAGTTGGTGGGGGGGAAAAGAAAAAAGAGCGACCAGGGCAGGTACGAGCCGACCTGTAATGATAAGGTAAGCGGGGGGTGGAGCGCATCGAACCCACTCCTGCGCATGCAGTCAGTCCCTGGCCGTGGAGACATGGAGCCTCTCATCGCACCAGGTGCACTTCAAACTCCCAAGCTCCCAGGCAAAGCATCCACGCCACGCCAGCAACCGCATCTTTGCGACTGACTGCAACTGCGGTACCTTACCGCGGTACGGCAGATGCCGTGTCTCCGTACCAATGGATTTCGAGCTTTGCCCCAGCTCCCATGTCGTTGTTACGCATCCCATCCGGCTCCCATGCAAGCCCATGGCACGGCACAGCACCCAAGGGTTTACCTTCGACACCGCGCTATTACACAATGTACGCAGGTCACGCACCGACACCAATGACGCCGAGAAAGACAGAGAAAAAAAAACCAATCTCGACACCAGCCGGCCAGTATCGACCCGCGCTGCTCAAGCGTACAACGCTAGAAGTCCACGCGGAATCTTCAACCGCCCTAACGCCCACTTGTCAAGGTAATTCCGCCCAAGGTGTGACGGCCGTCTCCCGCTTCACCTCTGCCGGTCCTCGACGGCTCTGTTTCGTCCCGTCTGACACCACGGCAGACGGGACAACGTCTGCCAAAAAGAAGAAGAAAAACAAGGTATGACCGCAGGCTAGGCACGCTTGGTAGTTCAACTCGGAGTACTAGTCTCTGGCCCCAAAGTTCGGTAGCATCGGCAAATTCTTGTCTTCTGGGGGTTCCCCTTCCGTTCTCTGCTGTCGACATCGAACATGTCGGGCGGATGACGATCCATGTCTTGTTCTGGCGCTGGGAGAAGAAGGAGAAGCCAGATGGATTGATGTCGGCAAAAAGAACGCCCATCTACGAGCACTCACACAACTGACATGTCCCGATACTGTTGTGTGTAGGTAGGTATTGGTGTCCGTCTTGCGCTCAGACAAGGGCGGTCTGGGGCCGACGTAAGGGACTCCCGAGCAGAGCTTCTGCCTGAGGACCCTCACAGTCCTCCTCCACCTTCCACTTTCCCCGTCGTGGACCGACGGGGGGCCTGGTCTGTGGACAGTCACCGTCGACTCCTTCGAGAACGACACTGGTTGTTGAACCCGACCCCATCAGGACAGGATATGACGGGGGTCAAGCCTCAGGTATCACCTCCGTATCCGTTATGCCCTCCTGCCCTCAATCTCTCGCGCGACTCCAGCCGCGCACCTATGGCTGTCAGGAACAGGAGCCTCCCCACGACAGCAACAGCCGTGGCCGAAAAACCCACGAGAAGTACCAGGTTGACTTGCGAAGTGGATGGAGATTGGTGGACTTGCCCTACTGGGCAGGGCACAATAGGGCGGTTAAGGTACGGCTACAGCCTACGGACGGGTACGGGTACGCATACCCTGCCAGTGTCAAACCGTCTGCCTGGTTTGTTCCCTTAATACCAGAGGCTCCTTGCAAGGTGGTTATTACGGAGCATCGCTGGGCTCGACTCCTCAGACGTGCGGATCATTTGGACATTGTCGTCGTGGGTGCTTGCTACGGCAGGCAGTGAGCTGGCTCTCATGAGCTGGGCTCCTTCCTCCTGGCTTGGCAGCCAGTCATCAGAGGGCCCGGCTGCGGTACGGTATCGATGTACCCGGCATATGGGTAATGGCGCTATGGATACATACAACTTACAAGTAGGAGCACGAGGAGTCCCCGCCTGGGCACCCATACCTAGGAAACGGAACGTGTCCATGATGCGCCATCGAGAAGTCATACCTCAGGCAACTTGCCCTATTTGGTTTGCACCTATGCACCTTGCTTGGAAGTTGGATTTTGATATCAATATCAAATGGGCATGGCCACTTATTATGATGACAAAGGACATTGGCAAATGTGTGACCTTTCCCCTTCATCCCCCCCTGGCCGAACTAACGGTTCCGTCCCCTACGGCCATTTCGACACGTTTTCCAACATCCCCCGTCCTCTGGCGCGCACTTGTCCATTTTGCGACTGCGCCATCTTGTTTGTGTTAGTGAGCTTCTTGGGACGACGGGAGTCAAGAAGCGCGGACAGGCTTTGAAGTTCAGCCGGCGGGGACACTTGTCATGGGGGTTTGGGGAGTTTTTTTTTTGGGGTTTTTTTGGTCTTTTTTGACCAGGTACTCTGTACACGCTCGCAGTATTCGCGCAGTGTGGGCCCAATGCTGTATTCGTGACACTGCCCTGCCAAAGCATGACGACGAGGCGAATGCATTTCCGTTGCTTCGTTGCGTCTCTGGACTCAGGTCGCTACCAAGTACAGTGTGTCTCGCCTGGCCTCGTACGCACACGCTACTCAACGGTCCCGCCTTCCCGCCCTGCACTGCTTATCTTTTCTTAACCCTTCGCTAGCACGAGATGGACGGGGCGAACAGGGCACTTGGAATCCCATTCTTCGCGTTCGACCTGACACTCAGAAGGGGGGGGGGCGAGGAGGGTTTCCTCCCAGCGCACCGGTCACACATATCATCCGATACCTCCCAAATTCCACTGCTATTGGCCTTACGAATCCCTTATACCTTTACTTTGACAATGCTGGAGGTGTGCCTTGCATGCCTCGCGCATCCCATTTGCCGACGCTCTCAACCGCCCAACATCATCGTGCCGTATTCTGACTCGTCCTGTCCTGGCAATGGGGGGGCCTAGGATCGCCAACGCCGACGCCGTCGTTCTGATTAATGTTCCATCTCTTTGGGCTGGGCCAAGGGCCAGCGCTGTCGCAACTTTCCTCCAAAGTTTTGCTGCACGCTGCAACCGACGCTGATGTCGGAGGCCCTTACAGAGGGAGACATTGCACAATGTTTGCTCTCGTCACCCTCCTCTTGAAGCGTTGGTATCCGGCATCCTTACTTACAGCTGTATCCGTACCTACTGTGACGAAAATCGGGGTGTCTGGCATGGCCACAACATGGCATTGGCCGTGGTGCACGTCGATTACTATGAGCTCCGTTCAACTGCCCTACCCGTGACGAAACGATGTCAAGAAACGCACGGAATGCAACTGCAAAAGAAGGGTGGCGCTGAATCGACCACTCGGTTTTGTCGATGCTTCCATGTCTGTGTCATCCCTCGAACCTCGTCGCCCCCGCCTTCCCGTCCGACCCAAGAAAAGAAACAGGAGACATTGTGTCCATCTCTTCTTGTTCTGCCCATTCGGTGTTGTCTGTGTGTCAGCCATTCTCCCCTCTCGCTTTTCGTCCTATCGGCCTCCCCTTTTGCTTGTTGCCATCATTCCCAGGTATGTAGCCCACAAAAAAAAAACCGTGTACCGCGGCTGCAGAGGTTGGTTCGTACCGAGTTGGTGTGCGGTACCTTTCTTTTGCATAGGAAAGGAATTTCTTTCCCTTTGTCCACGCCATTTCCCTCGGGCCGGATCCAATTTCACAGCAAGTGTCATGAACCCATCAAGCCACAGGCCCGGTAAATGAAAATACACCAAGGTAGGAAAGAATGGTAGGTAGGTGCGTCGTCGTCAGTCGGATAAGACTCCAAGGACGAGAGTTCGCAACCCCTGGCCGATCCTTCATCTCTCTGCCAGATTCGGCCTGCGACAGGGCCTTTAGCCTCTCGACTTGCTACGCTGCCCTGCGCGCTGGCCCGGCTCTGGCTCTGGCTCTGGCTCTGGCTCTGGCTCTCGCTTTCCTCCCCTGCCTGTGTTCCTCGAGTATGCCGCATGGCACAGCACCCACCCAAGGGTTAATGTGAGGTAAGGCGAGGCAAAGACGAGTATCATCTCTGGCGCGAGAGGCAAGGCGAAAGATCCCTCGGATGCTGCGTACTAGGCAAGACATGGCAAAGGGCATTTGACGCTGCTGTTTCGATGTCGTCCTTACTTGTACCCTGTTCTGCAATGCCATGCTCTGCTGGTGCTGCTCTTCTCCGAGTCTCTCTCTCTCTCTCTCTCCTCTGCCGAACCCTGGGCGGCCTGGTCTGGCCTGTGCTGGTACTGATGCTGCTTTTGTTAAGGTGGGCAGACTAGGTACCGTTCCTGGGGTTGCTCCTGCTGCGGTGGTCTGCGCTGCCGCTCACGCCGTCGTCGCATTGCGCGACCTCCCACCCTCCCACCTTTCGCCCACACCCGCATCCACCTAGACATTCACACCCACCCACCCCTCACACACACACACACAACAGGTACGCTCTCTTCCTGTCTCTCTCGTTCGCTCGTTATCCACTCCACGCTCTTAAGTCCCCATCTCCATCTCCAACACCCTACGACGACACTACCCTACAACTACACTGCGACTACCTTCACACAACCCTGTCCATCTCCTGCGACCCTGGACGCACACACGCACACACACACACACACACACTCGCTCTCTCTCTCTCTCTCTCTCTCTCTCTCTCTCTTTCTTTTGCGCTCGCTCTCCTCCCACTGCCACTCCGCCTCCCCTCTTCTCCTCTCCTTCACAGCACTGTCCCAGCCCACCCTACCCTACCCTGTCCACCTTGGGCTGTCCTGGGTCCTCTCTCCATCGACTCCTGGTTGCACCCATCATCGAACATCGGTCTCCTCCAGGCCCCAGCAGTGCAGTGATATGACCCTGTCTGTGCCTAGTGTATGTACCCAGCCCAGATCTTGTTCCTTACCCCGGTCGTCTCCTCGTCCAGGTCTACCCACGTCAACCCTTCACGCCTCACGCCGGGACCTGTCGTCCATTCATAATAAGGCTTGACCTTCTCCCGCGTACCCCCCTCATCCACCAATCCGGACAATTCCTAGACCAGCTCGCGCTCCCAGAGAATTTCGAGACACAACTCCCCTCTGGTGCTTTCTTTTCCTTCAACTCCCTCCTCTCTGCAACTCATCTCAACCAGACAACACCATCTAGTCGACGGCGCTTTCGAGACTGAAAGGCTCACCGAGAGTGAAGAGAGAGTGAGAAAGAGCCGCCGAGTGCGCGGCCAGGTCGGGACGGTCGGCGCCAGCTACGCATACCCAGTCTTCAAGCAGCGAGCTTGAATGTAACCGCTTCTTTGTCTCCGCTCTTCGTCCGAGGCTACGTCTTCAATCCTCACCGCTATCAACAAACCGAACCACCGCGACCGAACTCGACATGTCCAACGATCCGTCTGTGAGGCGAATCTTGCCTCAGAGCTCCCAGATGGGCAGCTTCTCCTTTGCGCCGCAGCAGTTCCCTCAGAGGGAAACCCAGAAGAGTGCGCCATCTACCTCCACCACCTATCGCCTGGGCTTGTCCATGCAGTCTTGTCTAACCAGCTCTATCTAGACTATGTCTTTGTGGATGAACACAATCGTCACAAACGATTGAAGGGTACGCTCACGTTCCCCCGCCGTTGAGCCGCGCGCAACTGGACTTGAACTAATGAACCCCCCCCAGTGATGAGAGCTTGTGAAGGATGTAGAAGAAGGAAAATCAAGTGCGATGCGGCCACGACAAACACCTGGCCTTGCTCCGCCTGCATCAGACTCAAGCTCCATTGTGTCCGCCCCAACGGCCAGTACGATGGCACCGACAGCTATGAGCCTGGCAGGGACGAATTCGCCGCTGCGTCCTCTCAGCTGCAAGACAACTTCCGCCAGCAAGCTCCTATGCAGCAACAGTCCATGATGGCTGGTGGGCAGAAGCCCAATCCGTCCATGTATACCGCCCAGGGCGCATATTCGGATCCCAATGTCTTCCCGCCTGTTCACTACTCTGAGCAGCAGGCACACCAGCATAACATGCACTACACCACGGTGCCCCCCTCAGTATCGATGATGGAACAACCCTACGGTGCTCCGAATGTGTTCCCTACACCGCCTCTACAGCATAGCGCACATCCGGATTCGCCTCCCGACACATATTCTCAAGACGGCTCCTATCAGCAATCTGACCTGGCTGACCTCCTCGGTTCACTGAAGGTCAATGAGGCAGGGACAGGTAAGCCATTCCTTACCACCGCCCATCTGAGAGTTGGTAACTGACGGGACTACTTAGCACCATACCTGAGAAACAAAGCCTCTTTCCTCCATGACGAGGAGCCGGCCGTGGAAGATGCCGAAGATTTCAAGACGGCCCTTCCGCCCATCATCTCTGGGCCAGGTCTCAAGATTCGCATCCCTCCGGAACTGATGCCGGACGACGAAACTGTCATGCATTATTTCGACTTGTTCTTTAGCCACGTGCACCCGTACATACCTGTTCTCAGCAAGACCATGTTCTATCACCAATGGAATACCAATCGAGAGTCTGTGTCGCCTCTCATTCTCGAAGCCCTTTTCGCCATGGGAGGAAGACTTGCCGACGATCCCGCCCAAGGACAGCAATGGCTTGCCTTGGCGACGAGTATGGACCCATCATCTATCTTCTCAGAGGGTTACTAATATCATGCAGAACACGCCGACTCTTTTATGGACGTGCCGAGACTCAGCACCCTCCAGGCTTTGCTACTTATCCTGAAAGCCAGGGAAGCAGCACCGAAGCGCGGCTACTACTACCGTTCGTGGATGACCATCGTGCAGTGCGTGCAAATGGGCAAGGATCTCGGCTTGGATGAGCATTACTCGGACCACCAGGCTGGACGGCCCTGCGGCTCGTCTCCTACGGAATGCCAGATGAAGAGTAGAATATGGCAGACCATCTTTGTCTGCGAAACCATGATTGGATCTCCTCAAGGTTGGTCTTCTCAATCTCGGGCCTTGGTTTGCCTGTTTGCTAAACATTGCAGGACGAACCGATCTTGCGGTCGAGCTGGACTCCATCGACTTTAGTGTTCCGCGTCCTATCCCGGGCGGCGACGACTTTGAGTACCACACCACCCGGAACTTTACCTATTTTGCACGAATTGTTCGTAACGTCAGCCGTATGAACACCGCTTACGGCCATCTCAAGAAGAAGAAAACGAAGGACTGGGGCGTCGACCCCGAGTTTGTGCAACTCAACCCGGCGCTGAACGCTTGGTTGAACGACCTACCCGCGGATCTATCGGTTACGTTCCCTCCGGATGGTTCTCCGCCGTGGCTTTCGTCGCCATACATTGGGAACCTGCACTCCTACTACTACCTGACTTTGATTCTGCTTCATCGACCTCAGCTCAACTTCCTCGATCCTAACGGACAGGACGGACAATGGAAACAGCACATGATGATTTGCTACTCCTCAGCCAAGGCTTTGTGTCGACTCCAGGAGGCGGTCCTGAATTCCTTTGGGTTTCCGGGCCTACAATGCATGCTCCGTGGGTTCAGTTTCACCGTCTACTGCGGACTCTGCTGCATTGTTCTACATCTGGTGAGAGCCCTTCTTGCGATTTTCTATCGGTGACCGTTCTAACGTGGTGGTGTCATAGGTTGCCGTTGTTTCGCCTGACCCCGATCTGAACACTGATGCTCGCGAGTTCTTCACACGGCACATGCGAGTCCTTGAGAAGGTCATGGGGATTTGGCCGATGGCGGATCTTCAGAAGCAAGTCGACGCGGTACGCGAAGCATTTTCTGCTGATACCAGGAAACCTTTCGTGCTCAAGCCAAGCTTCCCGTACGGAAGTCCTCAGTCGTCCAACCATTCCAGTCCTCCCCGGGGTTACAGGCCGGGAATGGCTCGTACTGCGTCTTTGGACCAACAGCTGGATACTCAGAACCTTCAACACTCCCAAGTCAGTTATACCAGCCACCCCATCACACCTCCCATCTCTGCCGGGCCTGTGGATACCAAGAGTGACTCGCCTGCTATACAGTCGCTCGTCATGATGGCCAATCAAGGTTCCCAAGCGCCGGGGATGCAGCAATCAATGTCACTATCAGACGCGCCAGCCTGGAACCCTGCACGTATTTTTGAGTAAGTTGGCTGCAATCTACGTTGGAGAGACACATCTAACAAAAGCTCAAGGCAATGGAACACGTCATTCGGTACGCCTCAGGTCCAACCACAGCCTTCGACGCTGCCTCCCCAGTCCAATTCGCTTAGTGTTTCTCCGTCTTCAGGTGCACCCGAAGCCCCGTCTCTTCAAGACATCCAGGCTGTCAATGCTACTCTACCAGTGGTCTCTCAACAAATGGCGCAGCAGTACTCAGCTGCGCCAGTGCAGACATTCGTCTCGCCAGCCATGTGGCAGGAGTCCGTGGCCAGTGTCTACGAGGGCGGTCTCAAGCGGGGCTGGGACTACGATGGCAGTGGTCCATTAATGAAGCGGCGATGAGCCGCTCACACAGATTGATCTTTGCAAGTTACCTAACATTCTTGTCAACAAACACCGGCTCTCCGGTGTCATGACCTTGGTACAGCGACGGCGGTTTACCAATCCACACCGCGTGGTTTTGCGACTTGGCAGAGTGTCTCTGCTGCGAAACGAACGATACATCGGAAGGGTGCCCTCGACAACACCGATTCACACGTACATATCTTGGATTTTCGGTTCTCTTGGTCCTTGTTCGCCTCATACACGGTTTATTCTCGCGACGAATATATGTACACGATTACGATGAAAATGAGGAGAGGGGATACACAATTGAAGATCCATGTCGGGCGCCGGCGTCACTCATGCCCTTCAGAAGCATGGCCCCAACCAGCAACGGGGCTGTCAAGAGGCGTTTTTTTGGACGGTTCGAGGATGGAAAAGACCAGGCGAGGCGGTGTCCTGGCCCTGTACTGAGGATTGTATTACTATATTTGGCATGTTTCCTTTCGATGGAGCCGACGACGCAGCAGAGTCTGGCTCGGCGTATGGACAGCGCGCATCTTGGCATTTCAAACGAGGAGTCTTGCTTGCTTACTGTCCACCCACGGAAAACCCAAAAGAGTACCTGTAAGAGGAGAAAGAGAGAGAGAGAGAAGTTTCGCTGTTCCCACGACTGGATCAGCCAATACGGACATGATACCACCTTTGTGCGCGTACCAATACTTCATAATACCTTACATGATGACAATACGCAGTGACTACACAGTAGAAGATGGAATCTTTCGAACCAGACGGTAGCCGGCATATCTTTGGCTTGGCAAAGGAGGGGTTGGGTTAGAAGAGGTTTGACAAGAAGAACAGGTGTCAAGGGCTCCAACCGGGAAGTCCCAAAGCGGTCGCAAAGTCAAGCCAGCCACCGAGATGATTGGCCGCGGCATCTCATGTTGAGCATACTCCCAGGGTTCTTTCAGCCGCACGCTTGAACCCAAGAAACTCTGCATGAGTAAACGGTCTCAACTTCAGCCCGGACGTCCTGCACGGGCTTAATTTGTCCCCCTTGGGTGTCACATGGCAATTTTTATACTATCTTATTCTTCTTATTTTGCAACGGCGGGGAAAACGGGCTTCCAGTGACTGCCGTGAGCAGCAAATAGGGGCATCTGTTGACACCGACTATCCAATTTTTCTCAGGGTTGAAATCTTTGACCTATCGGCATCCCGCAGGGGGAACGCCGTGAGGGACGCGGATGTATATGGGTGCGGCGCCGAAACCGATTTACGGATATCGGGTACTTCACTCGAGAGCTGAGAACGTTTTTTTACCTGATCTAGGGATCCGGGCAGTGGATATGTGGGGTCGATCCGATTGGGGATCATTGGGGAAAGGGGGGGCTGTAAGATCCTCAAGGCAAGACCCAAGGATGCAACAGGTGTGCTGTAGCCGAAGCTTCTTCATCGGCTGGCTATTGACGACGTCGGTTCAATGCCGCTGCGATATGCCGAGGTTTTGACTAACCGGGGCAGGGGGTGGAAGATTTTTAGAGAATACTGCATCAGCAAAGGCTACTGTGGTTGATGGACAAGTCGAAAGCAATCGGTGTTCAGTCAATCGGAAAAGGGGGGGGGGGGTTGAACGGGCTAGTCGGATCGACGTTACGCGATGATGGGCACACACTAAAGCGTCGCATGGCATCTCTTTCTCGTGTTTCGTAGCCAGGACCAGGTAGTTAGCCTAAGGGCATGTTGTCGGATATGTTGGAGAAGCATGCCGGACAACAATATACCTTCAAACAGAGCGTGCGGGGGAGAGGTAAAGCACCTGGCGTAACAAGGTAATCGTACGCTGACGTGCCCCTTTTCGTCAGCTCAGTAGGTCTGGGGCCAACTATGGTGGTGAGTACCCGGGTGGCTTTTAAGGTTTAAGATGGCACGTTTTCTCTGGCTCGCGCCGATGCTGCCAAACGGACGTTGCATCTCGTCCGCTGCAACGTCAGACCGGGTCCCCCGTACCTACGATGGAGGGGGGGGGGGGGAGAATGCTCATGGGAGGGGAACTGGGCGCGGCATGCAGGCGGCAGGGCAGAATGAGGGGGAGATGTGCGATGAACGGAGGGGAGGGAGGGGGGTGAGGGGGAAAGAAAGGAGGGGAGAGAGAGATTCTGGGATGCACTAGGCCGTTTTCCGAAAGTGCCTCTTCTTCCTTGCCCCCACTGTTCCCAAGTAGTCCAACGACAGTCCCGAGTTTCCGACTCTTTTCGTCCCATTTTCCCTGACAACAAGAAACCGACGGGCGTCCCCGCCCTAATCTTGTGTCTTCTTTTGTTGGGGACTCTCGGTGAGGCCGAAGGTTTGTGATGCAGGTGTGTGGCGTATGCGCATATAGAGTTGATGGGCGTTTCGGACTCGAAATCCACGGCTTGCGAAACATGACACGACCCTCCTTCTGCGCTGCCTTGCATGTAGTGGTGGTGTCCCCTCTTGTCCTCTGCCGCGTTGTCCCCCATCTGGGACATTGGCCTCACGCAGAGTTGTTTCTCTCTTCCTTTTTTAGTTATAGCGGCAGAGTACCAGGCACCGCAGGCTTTAGGGCTGGGGTTTAAAAACTTTAGAAGGATGAACGGCAAGGAAGGAGGTCACAAAAGACGCACTTCTCTCTCCCGGCCTCGCGTCCCAATCGGTTTCGGCGCTGCGTCCGGAGTCCCTTCCCAGTGGATGAGAAGGCTAACGCATGAAGACGGGATACCAGCGAGTTTCGGGTGGTTTTGTCCGGCGCGGGGCTTGAGCATTCCACGCCGTTGTGGGGACGGCGGCGGCGGCGGCGGCGGCGGCGGCGGCGACAGTGGCGACGGCGTTCGAGAGTGTGGCCGAGAGGTTGTCGGACGGTACTTACCATGTGGTTAACGTGCAGTGAGTGGCGGTGGCGGCTACAACGGGGCCTTCAGGGCCCCGGGGCTGAAAATTTCGGTCCGGCAAACCCAGGCGCGCGGCGCCACAGTAATCGTGTCATTCTCGACGGGAGGCAACCACAAGGAAGATGCCGGGTTGCGGAGAGATGAGGTAAGTCTCTTGTCAGCGCGAGCGAGCGGCGCCGTGGCGGAGACATCCCAGAGACATGGGCCAACCCGGTCATCGCCCTCCCGACATCATGGTGTAAAGGTTGAGCCAATATAGGGTTACGTCTTTCATTTCTTTGGCACAGTCCAGATGTACTATGCAGGTTACCCAGAAAGAGGGGCTTTGTTCTGTGGAGTCCCTTTTGGACCGTGGCAAAGTGTAATGACTAGTGTAAGCGTATCCTTCTGGGGGGCGGAGTATCTGATAAGATACACCGAGCTTTCGAGCCTTTTGCTGGTTGGGTCCTCTTGAAATAGTATACAACGACCAGGGGATGTTTGCCGTACGCGCGAGACTCATGGACCGCTGATGGGGCACCTGCAGTCCGCGCGGTCTCCCGTCTACACGCCCCCCCCCTTTCATTCTGGATCGGAACACCCTCTAGACATGTCGAATACATACAGTATACACGGGCTCTGACAGCCACCTCTTTCAATTTATTCTAAGCGTATAGAATACCACTCTGGCAGGCCCACGACAAGGTCCTGGTCAGGACACTTCACTTACGCTTACCCAACGACTCGCGAACAATGGTCCAGACCCAGCCATCCTTGACGCCATGGCTGGCGCCCTTGCCGCCACCGCTCTTGGCGCCACCGCCGGAGGCAATGTCCTCGCGGATGCCGAACTGGCTCACCGGGCGGTAGTGGTGCCACTTGCGCTTCGCCATGAGCGCCGAGACGTCGCGGACGTGCGTGACGAGGCCGAAGCGCGTCGCGAGGCTCCCGCCCGCCGCCTCCGGGGAGACGGGCCGCAGGTCGGCGGCCGAGACGAGGGTCGTCCGGGGCCGGGTGGCGAGGCCCATGGTGCCGAGCTCGAGCTGGGCCGTCGGCGGGAGGGTGCGGACGTAGCGCTCGAGGAGTGCGCGCGACTGCCGCGCGTAAGGGGGCAGGCGGAGGTAGATGTAGGTCACGAAGGGGGCCGAGGTGTAGGCAACGAAGAGGAGGGGGATGACGCCGCAGGCGGCCACTGGATGGTGTTAGCGAAGCCATTAGAGCACCTGTGCCTTGGTATTGGGCGGTAGAAGCAGGTGATATGGGTGTAGGTGCGATTCGTGAGAGATGTGCGATGAAGGTGAAATAGGGGGCTGAGAGGACAAATGAGTGAATGGGGGGATACTTACACCCTGCAGCTTGGGCAAGCGTCTTGTCCTCGGCGCGGATGTAGCTGGGCGCGGCGACGAGGCAGAAGAAGGCGCACGAGAAGACACTTGTGATCTTCCAGAAGGCTAGGAAAGCTGTCCGGCCGGTGCCGGCGTGGTAAATGAGCAGTCTCTCGGGCAGCTCTGTGAGTGTATATGGTCAGCGCCTGTCGAACGACACATTGGAGCTCTCGTCAGGCCCTGCCTCACAGCGGGGGGGCTCGAAATGGATAGCAAATAGGGAAGAGATGCGTACGGGCACTTCCGGACCGGGCAGAGGCTCCGGCGCCGGGCGGTTTTGATGCGGTCCGGGGGCCGGGACTCGGGGCGGCGGAGGCGAAAGGCCGTCTCGGACTACATTGCTGTCGGGGCTGAAGAGATTTTTGGAGGAAAGGGCGGAGCGTGCATGCTCGTAGGGAAGGCAGGGGTTGTGCTGCCTTCGGGGAGGAGCGTGTGAGGAGGAGGCGGAGGAGGGACATTGTGGTGTATGCCCATGGGACGAGGGGAGAGGGTGAGTGAGACTGAGAGCGGTGGTCGTGAGTGGATTGGGTAGGGAGAGTGAGGGTTTGATGAGATGAAATGCTGTGGTGGATGAGGTCACTGCACGCACGGCACTGACCCTGCCTATCTTTTTTCGTCGACGCGACGTGACAAGGTTAGCTACCATCCATCGCCCGAACCGTTTTCCTGCGAATTAATTCACCCTCTTTGAGTCGGTGTTTCACAAGGACTACTGATGCTAATTGAGAGGCAATCGACATTTAGAACTTGAGATGATTTGTTCGAAGTTTTTCAATCATGGATCGGTACGGGTTCGACGTGACCAAAGACCGCTAATGTTACAGTCCGCCGTTCCACAGCTTGCCAGGTTCGCTGGCCAAAGCACTAACATGCATCCCTCTCAAAGCCGATGCTCCCGAACTGCGCCTGGCCGACCTTCGAGTCAGACAATGTTCTTCTGCAACCACTCCTTCCACTGGTCCAGCGTCCACCCAGAACTGATCTCGTTGTTCGGGTACCCGTCAAACAGCACCGTCGGGCTGACGTGCACGCCCGTCAGCCGCGCGAGCTTGATGAGCACCTTGAAGTCGTTGGTGACGCCGTTGCCGACGTTCAGCGCGCCCTCGCTGTCGGGCTTGTCCGACACGAGCAGCAGCTGCAGCACCTTGTCCTCGTCGACGCCCACGGAGCCCGCGAGCTTCGCCAGCCGGCGGTAGGTGTCGTTGCGCGGCTCGTTGACGACGTTTGCGTCAAAGTAGTCCTTCTGCGCCTTGAAGAGCGCGTCGCTGTACTCCCAGAACTTGTGCGGCGCGACCTTGATCACGGCGACGGCCGACTCGTGGACGAGCGTGCTCGAGGGGTGCCACGGCTGGACCTGTTGGCGGAAGATGACCTCGACGTTGGACGCCCAGGCCGGATTTGCGCGGATGGCGGGGACGACGGCGTTGTAAAAGGTGTTGAACTGCTTCGCCGAGAAGGGGCAGACGTAGTCGAGGTAGAGCTCGAGGGTGTGGGGTTGCGAGGGGACGCCGCCTGCCGGGTTGCCGTCCGCGATGGACTTGGGCGGGCCGAAGGTTAGCTTGTGAGCAGCGAACTTGGGGGGGACGGCCATTGTGGGCGATGTGAAATGGAGTCTGGTCGTGCGGGTGGTACTGAGTCGGCAACGGGTTGAGGAAGTGGTTCTGTCGGTGAGTATCGAGTTCGCGAAGGGTGTGAGGGACGGAATTAGTGTAGGAGTGACAACAACTGGGCGCCGACTCAGGTTTAATATGGCGTGCGAAGGGAGCTTCATGGAGCTTCTATTGCTGTCGTGCAGAGAAGGTGGTGCGGCAGCTCTGGGCGATGACGAAGAGCGCCCATTGGAGCAGGCGGGGGCGGGGTAGCTCCGATTATTGATAGAGCTGTGTCTCGCAACAGCCGCCGATAGGTGAGGCTTTGCGAAATCATGATGCAAGCGATCACGAAACTTTGCTGACTGAGCACATGGAGCGCGTCACTAACATCGCGCAATTCTACCAACATCATGCGCTATCTCTTACAGAAATGTGAATTCCGGTCATGACTAAAAGGATCATTTGGAATTATTGCGGCCCCGAGTTTCCGTTTGGGAGCATCTGTCAATGAACCGAGGCATCTACCATGCTCCGGGCCTACTGGGACCGTCCCTTGCTGGCTTCGTGCCCGGGAACCCCACCGAGTGGCCCCGGAATCTTGACAAATTCAGACCCGGAGTCGGCTTCACTTGATCTGCATCCTCGCATGGCGGAACAACCCAAAAGCCGACTTCTCGTCTTTCTCCATTGTGACGTCTGCTAGTCTCATAAACATTCTCTCACAACCCTCTACGAAACCGTGTTTTTAGCCACGATGCCCCGCGCAAACTCGCCAAACGTTATGTGCTGCTCAATGTCGACCTCCTCGCCGAGGTTCGGCTGAGTAAAAACAGCCAGCGTGTTGCGTGCGACCCGGCCGTCGCTCACCGACGCCCTGACGCCCCTCACGAAGTGTGGCACCGCCTTGAACCTGCCGCCTGTAATGCGTTCAAGGGCCTCTCCTGTCTGAAAAGCGATGCAGTCCCGCGGGATCTTGACCTGAACCGTCTCCCCCGTTCTCGAGTGGATGTACAGCCCAGCAGCCGGGTCGGGCGACGCCGCCAGTTCGGCGAGCGGTGGCAGGCTTGCCGACGTGTCGTTTGTGATTTCTGGTACCGCGGTTGATGTCTCCTTCTCGTCGATAAACATGGCCGACGTTAACCCAGTAAGACATCCGTGATCGACATGAACGCTACACCTTTTTGTGTGTATTAGCTAGATATCCATGAAATCGCTTGTTGCTGGAGGTAATGTTACCAGTCATCGTCGGCGGCGCCGATTTCGGAGAGTGCTTCCTGGGTCTGCGGGTAATAGTGCAACAAGCGCGCCTTGGTCGTACTAGACGTACTAACGACGTGCTCCAAGTAACCCTTGGGATAGGCCTGAATCTCGTTTTCGGCATATCTGTCGCATGCCCGGGCGACCAGGACTGCGGTGTCAATGATGACACGGCACAAGCTCTCGAGGCTGGGCTTGAATCCCGGAAGTACATCCTGTGCCGGCCACACGTTGGGCGACAGGTACTCGGGAAAGTTATCTGTATTGAAATCGGCGGTTGGCTTGGCGCAGTCAAGCTTGGCATCGACATAGAATGCACAGTTGGCATAGTATGACCCCTTGAACGTATCAACTTGGCCGCTCTTGAGTGTCTCTTTTCCCAGCGACCAGCCCGTCAGGTATTTGGCCTTTTCATTCTCTAGTTTTTCTATTTATATGTGAGTAAAATCCTACAGCAGAGTGAAATTTTATTTTCCTACTAAGCTCATGTTCAGGTAGGTTGCCCAAGTAGGAAGCGTACGACAGTGTCTGATGTCTCAAGTGACTGAACTCGGTCGGCACATCTTTAACTACCAGTATTCCTAGAGATTCTGGCCCAAAAGCCTCCTTGAGCGTCTCAGAGGGAATGTTGCCTGTAGTATGGTTGTCGCATGTAAGTTGTTGCTCAGTGCCGTGGAGTCGTGTGACTCACCCTGCTTGAGGTCGTGGAGGGATACAACGACTGGCTGCGCAGTTTGAACCATTTTGATTGCCTAAGTGAGCGAGTCTGTATTCTTGGTAATGAACGAAACTAGAAAGTAAACAATCAGATCGTAGGCACGTCGACAAGATGTCTAAACTACCACCTGCCGGACACGGTTCCTGAGGTGGGGGAGGGGCATTGTGCTACACTTACGTAATCGCCCTATCTATAGCTTTATTCGCCCCAGCATTGGAGCTTCCCATCATCAGTCAATATCTTGAAGCTCCAGCTTCCAGCACCGCAAGCCGCCGGTTATCGCCGAAAATCGCACCATTTCAACGATTCACCTTCCTCATCGAGACCCTTCCCGAACGAGACCCGAAACACGAGTAAATCGTAACAATGGTCAAGCCCCTGTCGTTCAAGGGCGACAAGAAACCCAAGAAGAGAAAGCGCACCGAGGCTGAAGCCCAAGAGCGCGATGCACAGAGCGGCGAGGTCGCCCGCGCCAGTGGTGTCGCGGGGGCGGAGGAGAACCCAGACGATGATGATAGCTGGGTCTCTGCGGATGCCGTGACAGACGTTGTTGGGCCCATCATGTTCGTGCTGCCGACGGACCCCCCTGCCGCGCTGGCGTGCGATGCCGTCGGTAAGGTGTTTACGCTGGGGATTGAGAACATCGTCGACGCGAACCCGGCGACGGCAGAGCCCCACGACGTGCGGCAAGTGTGGGTCGCGAACAGGATAACGGGTACGGAACAATTCAGGTTCAAGGGCCACCACGGGCAGTAAGTGTGAAGATCGGGCCTGTTACGAATGGGACCGGGGCTCTAACGCACAGCAGATACCTTGGATGTGACAAGAACGGCGTGTTGTCCGCAACGTCGGCTGCGGTGTCGCCGCTCGAATCATTCAACATCATTGCGACAGCGGACACTCCCGGCACGTTCCAGATCCAGACCCTGCGCGACACATTCCTTACAATCAAGCCGCCGAAGCCCAACGTTACGACGTCTGACGTCCGGGGTGACGAGGAGTCCATCACATTCAACACTACGTGGCGCATCAGGATGCAGGCGAGGTTCAAACCACGCCTCAAGGCGAGCAAGGAGGAGAAGGCCAAGGAGAAGATCAGCCGCAAGGAACTCGAGGAGGCCGTAGGTCGCAGGCTCGAGGACGACGAAGTAAGGAAGCTGAAGAGAGCAAGGAGGGAGGGTGATTATCATGAGCAGCTGCTTATGCTGAAGGTCAAGGGGAAGCATGACAAGTACGGCTAAGAGCGTCGCTCGATCTGGCCAGTTTGGTAAGGGAAAAGAAGGCAAATGATACCCAGGCAAAGAAGAATCACAAAGGGCAGAAAAGAAAGCAGTATTTGCTTGACACTTTGACGGCTCTGTTGTTTGCTTTCTCTTTGTGTGTTTAGTTGGGTCTCCACGCCTTGACGTTGCCGTCTTCTCCTGCAGTAAAGACAACTTGTTCATCGTCATAGAAGCAGAACGACCGGACAATCTCTTCACCGTGGCCGCCAGGCAGACCAACACTGTTCGCCCTGTCGAACCCCCAACCGCCATCTGCCGTGCGCGACAGGTGCACCAACTCGAAGAGCTGGCGGCTAAATGACAAGATTAGCTACAGACTGAAAGAGCAGATGGTATCATATGGCGGGGAGCAACTCACTCTTGCGAGCCAGCACCAACAATGGCGCCACTACCGTCAACCTTGGTCGTTACGTTGGCGATGTACTGACAACCGAGAGTCTCCCTTGCATCGCCAAAGTCGACAAGCGCAGCGCCCGAGCCGTGATCCTCGGCGACGCTGTAAACGGCGAGCTTCTCGTCGTGGGTCAGCACGTAGACCTCGGTGTTGCCGAGGAAGGAGGCGTGGTGGACGGAGCCCTGGTTCAGCGTCTGGATGACGACCTCGTCCTCATCGGAGATGCGCGTGTCGTATACGTTGACCAGGCCATCGGTTGAGCCCGAGAGAAGGATGTGCGGTTCCGAAGGGTGAAAGCGGAGTTCTGTCACGTCGTCACTATGAACTTCGTCGTATTGGAGCCTCTGCGTCGGGCCGGCTCTGATATCCCTGTGGTTGTGTTAGGTGAGAGTCAGGTGAAGTAGCAGCGACATACCAGAGTAGCACTGATGCCATATGGTTTTGGAATTCTGTGCCGACTGCTATTGTGTTTGTTCTCGAGTCACAAGCTAGAGAAAGAATGGGCGATTGGCTGGCTGTATGGCGTGTTAGTGGTGTTCGTTGTACAACTCACTCATGCCTGACGCAAGGAACCTACCTGCGAAATGGGCAACCTGCGGCTTTGATGACTCTCTCATATCCCAAACCGAGACTTCTCCGTTCTCACCTGCCGTGCAGACAATCGAGTTCTGCCAGTCGAAGGTCTTCAGGCATGTCAGGTTACCATGGCTGGTCGGGTATGACTTGATAGGGCCGTGGCCCAACCTCGCAGGGTTGAAGAGGCTAAGCTTTTGATCCGAAGAGATGGCAGCTAGACCGGCACCAAGCCGTTGAATGTCAAGAACATAGACATCTTGCTGGCTTGAGAAGTGGTGACCATCTATGCAAGAGAGGTTGTACATCTTGACAGCGGGGATCTATGTCCATTTGTGAGCATGGACCCTGTGCCAAACAAAAAAATCATGAGTGCTTTCAACTTACAGGACAATTCCCTAGTTGAAAAGTTGCTCTCACACCCTCGGTGGACTTGCAGAGACTATGGACTAATGATTATTTAGACTCACTTCCTAAATTAAGTCATAAAGTGAAATCCGGACAAGCACAGGATGTAATTAAAAGTCGGAACCAAGACCCAGTCAAGGAAAGGACGAAGGGTGAGCCCTTTAGTACAAAACCCCACTTTATGCAACTATACGGGATTCTGTTATCGGAGCCTCGACAGAGTGATATTATCCGGTATCCAGCTGAGCATCCAATCACGTTTCAGGGAGTGGATTACCCTGTCCATTCGGAGCTCTCAATTACCACCTACGTGGACCTTAGAGCCAGGACAGCTGTTCTGAAAGCATCGAGCTGCGCAACTGTTGCAACCACCAACCGACGTTCGCTTACCCAAACGTGTCTTCGCGAAATAACATGTCGCGGGTCTTGGCGATCGATTTTGGTACATAACAATCGTCCAAGATGAGACGTTCTTTTCTCTGGCTCGTCCGTAAGTTTCATCAACTTAATCAGGCGTTTGTACATAGCTAGAAGCTGACATACCCACAAAGTGCTGTTGCAGGCGGCCGTCATCTTGTGTTCCGACGAGCAAAAGGTTTTGCACGATTACGAAAAAAGCGATGGCGATAGCAAAGAAAGACACGCCAAAATACAGACGGATGTCCTTCCGGAACACCACACACCCCCTCCGAGGCAGCCCGGTATGTATAATGTCGCGATGGTCGCAATGGTGGGGGGATCAGGACAGTTAAGGACTGACGTCAAGCAGGGGCAGAACTGGTCGATCTCGCACTTGAACAGCTGGTCAAGCTTCCGCCCCGAACCTACCCGAGACGCGAACGTCGTTACACCCTCGTCTGGACCGTTCTTCGATATGCTCTTAAGTTCGTACCTAGTCTCAAGGTTGCCCCGGTCCCGGGCAGCAGTCCAGTACAGGATACCAAGGTCACTGGACCGCTGCTGGAGGCCGTGAAGCTGCTGGAACAATCCGCGCTGCAAAACAACACCGATGCGCTTTACCTTTTGGCCGACATGAACTTCTACGGCAACTACACATACCCCAGAGACCTAAAGGTGGCCTTCGATCACTATCAAACCCTCGCGACGCTCCATGGCAACCGCACGGCGCAGTACATGATTGCCCTTTACTATGCGACTGGAATCGGCCATGTTGTTGCACCTGACCAGGCCAAGGCACTGCTTTACTACTCGTTCGCTGCGATCCAGGGCGATACCCGCGCCGAGATGGCCGTCGGCTACCGACACCACAGCGGCATTGCGACACCAAAGAACTGCGAGGTGGCGAGCAAGTACTACAAGAGGGTAGCAGACAAGGCAATGGAATGGTACCGGTCGGGTCCCCCCGGTGGCATGGCATGGGTGGTTGAGTCGTACCGTATTGCTGATGAGCTTGGCGGCGTCTACGGCGAGGGTGCGAGTGCCTCAAGTGCAGGCATGAACGCCATCAAAGTGAGCCCCAACTCGGATGCCAATGCCGCCATCGACGACGTCATCGAATATCTAGACCTCATGTCGCAAAAAGGTGACGCCAAGGCCTCCTATAATCTAGGACGGATCTACTATGAGGGACAGAGAGGACTAGACCGAGATTTGGATCTTGCCCGCAAGTACTTCTTCACTGTGGCCAAGAGATACTGGAAGAAGGATGGCCGCATAATGGAAAACCACAAGCAGGGCATCGAGAAGACAGCAAGCAAAGCCGCCGGCTTCATCGGGCGTATGTATCTCAGGGGCGACGGTGTTGATCAGAGCTTCGACCAAGCTAAGAGGTGGTTCGAGCGGGGCATCTCGCATGGTGATCCCCAGTCCCAGCACGGTCTTGGTCTTATGATGCTTCATGGGTACGGAATGCCCAAGAACATAGCCATGGCGACCGACCTATTCAAAGCAGCGGCGGAACAGGACTACGCACCGTCCCAAATCGAGTTGGGCGTTCTCTACTTAGACCAAGGCGGGGCGGAGGATGTTCGAATTGCCAATAACTATTTCGAGCTCGCCGCCCGGTACGGCCAGATCGAGGCACACTACTACCTTGCTGAGATGGTTTACAACGGCGTGGGCCGCGACAAGACGTGCTCCATGGCACTGGGGTACTATAAGAACGTTGCTGAGAAGGCTGAGCCCCTCGTCTCTTCGTGGGCAGAGGCAAATCAGGCCTATTACTACGGCGACGAGGAACTGGCGTTTCTGGAGTACGTCATGGCGGCAGAACAAGGCTACGAGCGCGCGCAGAACAACGTCGCGTTCATCCTCGACCCTGTTCAGTCGAGACTCCCGCTGCCGGACTGGCTGCCGCTCCCCGAGTGGCTTGGTCTCCGACACACCCGTTCGAGCCTGCTGGACAACCAGAGACTTGCTCTCATGTACTGGACTAGGTCGTCCAGACAGTCGAACGTGGACTCTCAGGTCAAGATGGGCGACTACTACTTCCACGGTATCGGCTCCGAGCCGGATGTGAACAAGGCCGTTCAGTGTTACACTGGCGCTTCGGACTACTCGCAGAGTGCCCAAGCTCTTTGGAACCTAGGTTGGATGCACGAGAATGGCATCGGACTAACCCAGGATTTCCATCTTGCCAAGAGGTACTACGATCAGGCCCTCGAGGTGAATGAGGAGGCATACCTCCCCGTCACCCTGAGTCTTCTGAAGCTCCGCCTCAGAAGCGCCTGGAATACCTTCACACACGGCCCAATTCACTCCATTCAGGACGACCCTAGTAAGTTCCTCTGCATGACCGCATTGATATTTGCAGCGGATATTAATGAATAAACCAGAACCCAAGAAGGACTGGTCCCTTAGCGAGTGGATCGCCAACTTCCTACAGGACGACCAGCTGTACTACGACGACGCGTACTACGAGGACATCTTTGATGACACCATCGGTGGCACCGGTCCTGACGGCAACCCGCTCGAGGACGATGGCATCGCCGAGAGCCTCATCATCGTCTTCCTCGCTCTATCGATTGTGCTCCTCCTCTACTACCGCCAGCAGAGACAGCAGCAGCACAGGCGGGAGGAAGAGGAACGGCGCCGTCGCGAGGGCCAGCCCGCGGCACCCGTGCCGCAGGGGCAGCAGCAGGACCAAGGCGTGTTTCCACAGCCCGGTAACCCGGAGTGGAACAACTGGGTCGCCGGCGGTATTGGGCATTGAAATTGTTATTCCTGGATGTACGACTACACGCAGATTTTGAGAAGAAAGTATGCAGCTGGACGAGGTAGGAGGACGATAAAGCATATTCAGCGCCGGCGTTTGGGACCGTCCTGGGGAACAGGACATTTGTAATTCTTGAGTGGCCCGTTACAACCTATGAAATTTTCTGGCTTTTTGGGGTTTGCGTGTCAGGCACAACCAGATGCATGCGTTGCCGTTGTGCCCTCGTAATTTCCCCCGGATAGTGTGCGCCTATTTTGGCCCCAAGACGTGAGAGATTCAAATCTTTGAGACGAACGCGGCGGGATTTGTTTGGGGCATTCACGGGGTTTGTTTGCTTCGTTCATGTTTGCCTTCGGTATGCCTCCTGGAGCATATCAAGTTTGGGTCCGTGGTCCTTGTCAAACCGCCCTATCAGACAAGAACAGCCTGGTCTAACTAGCTTCAATAATCATCAAATGGTGGCATGCCTCGCGCCATTTCATGTGGGAATCAAAAACTGCTACTGACATTGTGCATAAACGGCTTGCTATTCTAGTGGTATCATCTTCTGTGTAACAACCCGCAAAAAGACAGCAAGAAAGGTATTAGCGACTAATAGTTGAAAAGAGCCTAGATGCGGCCAGGGATCCGGTAGCCGGGTACTGCCTTAGTACCTCAAGATAATTAGAGACCGAAACATAGGTGGCACCTGTGTCGCATTGGTGATGCTCGCCGTTGCTAGCATTGTCTGAAAAACTGAAAAACCGAAATTCCCCGAATGCGCGGCTCAGGTGTGGCCTGCCAATTTAGCGGCGGATGGGAGGAGCTCCAGCAGCTCCCAAAGGAGGTCCTTGGGAGTTTTCCATGTTACCCGTCAACTCGGCGACACGGGCCTTGATGCGGGCGACACGAGATTCAATCGCTGCACGCTTTGTCAGAATTCGCACTATGTTGGGTCAGAGGTTCATGGGCACTTACTCTCCTCTCCACTCGTGTCGTCGTCACCATCAGTGGTCTTACTGTATCCGCCACGGCTCTGCTCCTCGCTCTGGCGTTGCGCCGCGCGCTCCGCAGCATTCTTGCGAATCTGCGCCCATCGATCTATTGCGGGCGGGGATCGAGGGCCATCATTTGGCGAGGTAGGCGAGGCCTCCGCTAGCGGTTCGGGGGTCTTCGCACGTCGCGCAATGGGGGGTGGAATGGCATCCTCGGAATCGTCGTCAGGGACAAAGGCAGGTTGCTCTTGCAAGGGGCCCTGATCGAAACGCGAGAATTCGTGCTGAGCCTCGTTGGCATCCTCGGTATCGACGCGAGATATCGATTCATCAACGGACGGCTCGTACTGCGGCTCGTGAGCTTGAGTCTCAACTGGGGCTGGCTGAGGGGTCTCCATTGGCGTGGTGTAAGCCTCTGTGGGTGTTGGTGTGGGAAGGTTGGACTCGGAAGCAATGGGCTGGGGGGCGGGAGAAGGAGCAGGTTTTGGCGGCTCAGGGGTTGCTGTCTCGCGCTGAAGCATACCGTTCACGTCCGCGGCGGCGTTCTCGGGCAATTTCGAGTTCCGGTTCTTGTTGCGGCCAAAGAGCTTGCGCAGACCACCTCCACCAGCCTTCTCTTTGTGGAGCTTCTTCGACTTTTTGTCCTTGGGACTGGTTTCCGGTTCTGGCGTGAGCATGTTCTCCCTTCCATGGTCGAACGAGTCCTTAGGCGGAGGCAGTGGGGAACTGCGACCATTCTCGAACCGGTCGGCAGGATGAAGACCACTTGGAGCTTCCATCTCCTTCTCGGAGGGTACCCGAGGCTCGTCATCCCGTCGGCTAGGCGGCAGCGGGGATGGCGAGCGGAAACCCGACGAAGAGTTCATCGTCAACGGGGACGTCAACGGGGACGGTTGTGGTTGCAAAGAGGGAGACTTCGCCGGGACTTCGGGACGATACTCGGCTTCGATGTCGTGACCATTTGTGTACTCATTGTGGCCATTGCTTCCATTCCTTTGCATCGTAGAGACGCCGAGGCCACGGCCAGTAGTGTTGTTTGCCAAGTAAGCCTCCCGGATCGCCTCCTTATCGTACTTGTTTGCCCACTTCATCGCCGGGGATGCCTGGCGCATGATTTCGGGTTGAAGAGTCAACACACTTGTCGTCTTCTCTCTTGCCGACTCATCCTTCCTTCCTCGGCGTGCTTGGAGCATCTGCTGTTGCTGTTCCTGCTGCTGGCGCGCCTGTAGTTGGGCGGCGGCAGCCTGAATTCGAGCTTGCTGATCGGGACCGATGCTCGACTTGCTGATATTGGGATCGGCGTTCTTGCTACCCTTCTCGAGGGCGTGCTTGCCTGTTGACTTGCGACGGTTGACACCCTTATTTCGTTTGGTCCAGCTAAAGAATCCCTTCTTTTCAGCAATGTAGGCGCCTTCCTGGGGCTCTGGGGCTGCTCCAGCCACCATTTCCTCCATGACCAACCATCGACCACGCTTAATAGCCGTTTCGATAACGGCACAACGACCAAAGGCCGACTTTCTCTCCGGAGTCTCTTCGGGGGCGAGACTGCTCATCCAAACCCACCAGAAGCTCTCATCCAGATCGAACCGAGCAATGCTCGCCAGTTCTCCAGGCTCCAGACGGTCCGATTCCAGTCTCGGGTTGTGGGACTGGGAGCTTCGTTGGCGTGCAGCGGTCTCGATGGGCGGAAGAACCTTGTCGGGAGGCAACAGCATGTTGGGACTATTAGGATTATCGTCCACGAAACCAGACGAGAGGAAGTCAGCCCAAGACGGTGTAGTCGGCCGTCCAAGACCAACATTTCCGGATGCAGGTGTAGTTCTGAGGCCTTGGGGCTTGCGCGCAGCGGCTGCTGCTTCATCGTCCTCGTCCTCATCTTCGAGGGCACTGGTGAAGCCGATGTCTTCAAATCGTGACCATGATGCATCCCGCAAGCTCGTGGAGTGCTTTGCGCTGGAAACTTGGGATTGATTGGCGGACGAAATCGCTTTCAGCACACGGCGACATTCCTCAGTCAGGGCCTTCACAGGGTCCTCGTACTCGGAAAACTCGCGCAGGGCTCGGTCTTCCTCGCGGTACTGGAAGTGATTTGCTCGGCGTAGGAGTGCGAAGGGGGTTGGCGAGACAGCGTCGACGATCATGACTACCCTGTACGTAGAAGATTGCATCAAAGACGGCCTCTCAGGGGGATATTCGGTTTCCTGCAGCAACTTCTGTAGAGACATTGGCAGCATGGAGATTGCGCCTTGGGTCTGCTTTTGGGGAGCCAAGGACCGAAGGTAAGCGAAGAAGAGATGGCTGGTAGCGTCGGCAGCACTGCGATAGGTTAGCAATGTCCACTAGGCCAGAACATATCACTTACGTTGCCCAAGCTTTGTAACCACCCTCGAAGCCACTACCAGTGTCCTTCTGCTCGAACGCCCACCATGCAGCCATCCGGGAAACTTTGCGCCCGCCCAAGCCGTTCATCTTACCGTGGGCGGCGATTGCAGATAGCAGATCGAAGAAATCAAAGATGATACACGACCGGGCGCCGTTTTCGACACTAAGGGGGATGAAAGTCTTGAAAGAGTCTCTCGCCATGTTCGAGTCTGAAGTACGTGTCAGCTATGGCAGCACGGAGGACGCGGTGACCAATTCGTTCGTGCAACATACCTTGCTCGCCTACTTTGAACAGCTCGTACGCATCCCAGCCCACGACACCGCCTGAGAGCCGACTCCAACACCATTTGACCACACCAGCGATAACCTTACAGTGTTAGCATGCGCGTGTGGTATTGTTTTTGGAGGAATCATACCATTGGCTCAGTCATGCGCAGCTCTTGCGATAAGAACTCGCCACGAGGCGGTTGGCTGCCATCGAAGAAATGTCGAATGAAGGTCCGGACAGCACTAGGGTCCGAGGTAGGCCGGAATGGCAACAGGAGGAAAGGGTGATCAAGAGCTGCATTGGAGCAAGGTGTCAGTTGCTACGGGCGCAATAGGTCGCATTGAGAAGAGAGATGTGGTGTTGGAAGGCGCAGATGTATGCACAACATACCTCGTGCCTTCAACTCTTCGGTGCAACGTCTGATCAGGTCCTGGATCTCTTCAGGTTCGACCGTCTTCCTTGTGTAAGCGTCGTCCCATTTTGGCTTCGCAGGCAGCTGGTCAGCATCGAAGTTGGACCCCTTTTTGGACTTTTTGTGCGACCCGTCCTTGCTCTTCAAGCGAGAGAAGAGGCTAGGCATGTCGTCGGTGGAGAATCGCCTTTATCGAGGCGATTGCTGGTCGAAGCGGGGAGAGGCGTGAGGCATTCGAGGAACCGAGAGGATAAATGAGCAGCGGCAGTTGTGACTGCCTTGACGAGGGGTAGGTCGCTAATCGCAAGTCGTGTAATGGATCCGAGACAAGAAGAGTCCAAGGTTCGCAGTCTGTCGGGAATTGGCGGGGTGGCCGCGAAGAGGGACGCGATAGGAGAGAGTATGGTCGAGCTAGAGAGGCTGCGCGTTTGTTGAATCCAGTGTCAATAATACGTCGCTGGAACGGTCCACCTCGCGAGGAATTTCACTAGGAAATTGCGGTAGCGGGGAATCAGCAGTTGAGGGTATCGTAAAACATAGACGGGGGGGGGGGGGATTAACGAAACGAGGGAAAGTCTCCAGCAAGGGAAAGAAAGTGAGGAGGAGGAGAAAAGCTGGAGAGAGGTGGTGATGGTTGTGCTTGTGCTTGGGCCTGGGCAAGAACCGGAAAAAGAGGCTGCTTCTGCTTCCAGTCGGGACCTACTCCTTCTCTTTCTTTGCTTTCAGGGGCGAATGAACGACGGCAGGCTATTAATTGGAGAAGGAGGGAAGTGGTAATATTTGGAGGGGTCCCCTGGAGGCTTGGCTGCTGTCGGTGCTTGTCTATGGTTTTCCCCCCTGCTTTCTTTTTTTTCTTTCTTTCTGTTTTTGATCTTTATCCCCTGTCTGCTCTTTTTCGAGGTGGGTGTAAGTACCTTTTGTGTGACGATCACCGCGGGCCTGGTACCTGACGACGACCCTGATGTGGCAGCCCGATAGGGAATAGCGGCAATGCAGCGCGTTAGGGGTTGTTGCTCTGTTCCTCAGTCCGTGGGACGCTGTGCAAGCTCGTGAGGTGCTCGGAGGCTTTTGGCGGCGTCTGATGGGCTCGTAAATTCGCTGGCCCGTTGTTTGAGTCTCGACTTATCAGCCACGGGCGGGCTGTCGGGTGATGCTAGTGGCATTTGAGCAGCAGGCCCTCCGCACCGCAGCTCGAATCCTGGAAGAGTGGAAGAGACGGGAGGGGCACGACAGGCCCTGAAATGAAATTAAATCGCTGGAACGAGGATCCTTGTCCTGTGCCACGGGCCACAACTCTTACTCGAAAGTCGTCGGGAGTTGACGCCAATTGGGGGGGGGGGGGGGCGCCGACCACTCGAAAGTCAACGCCGACCAGTCTTGCCGGGTCGCCTCAGGCACAATGTGACGGAAGCCTGTCGACTGTGTCGATTGAGTCCTGATTCAGTGTATTCTGTTGCCAGTTGGTTGGCTAAGGAAGGGGGCGAAGATGCTGCGGTGGGGTGTCACTTATTGGTGGCTGAGGACTGAGATCTCAGGCAAGGATGTTAATATTGCCATTTAGAGGAAACGATGTGAAGCGTTGCGGCGCCCGGACGACTCACGCAGTTGTACGGTCTCGCAGAGGCGCAGAGGCGCGATGGTGATGACGATACTACCGAGCCGGAGGAGAGGCGTTGGGGATGAAGGAAGGAGGGAGGTAAGACAACCCGACATTGGACGAGCGGATCAGAGACGGCGACGCGCAACACCTTCTGCTAACTTCCATGCACCCAAGCCAATGCAGAGCAGGTATGCAATGCTTGCCGCTGCGAGCAAGCAAACCTCAGACGAAAGAGACGATGCAGCAGGTCTGGCGTCGGTCTCGGCCTCGTCAATGGGTAAACAGAACAGATGGAACAAGTTCCTTCCATCCATGATGGGCATGGCACACATGCGGTCGTGGATTGCCCATCGTCCTCGTCTCTCTCTCGAGTTGATCTCACAATACCCGTCGAGAATCTAGGTCTCCATGCTCAGGCGCATCCTGCTTGGTGAAATCTAACCGGCCATGCCTGGTCCGGCCCATGAATTACTTGAGACATGATGTCTCTGCTGCTTCTTGCTTGGTGTGGCCAAGCGTGGGAACCCCATTTGTCGCCCGCACCTTAATTAAGCCCGGTATCCGTTAGCTCCGTCCGCCCTGCGCTGGTCTCTCTAAGTGAATTCGTCGCTGGTAGGGCCGTTGGGGTGATATTGAAGGAACGAATGGAGCCCAAAGCCTGGACGCTAGGTTAGAGTGCGAGTCCGCATGCAACGAGAAGAAGGCGCGATACAGCTTGTTGGTCCGGCCCCGTGTCCCATGTGCTTCCCCGTAGTGTAAGGCCCCAGAGCCCTTTCCGAGGGAAAGGGGGGGGGGGGAGTAACCGAGCATTGATTTCTTGTCATCGCTTCCGCCCCCTCCTGGGTCGTTACCTCACCTCCTCCGCTTGGCGCTCCAATCTGGTGGGGGTGAACCCTGTTCCCGTCTCGTTTCGGACCTTCTTCGACCTTGCTTGCCTGTCTCGCGGCAGCCAGATCCAGCACCGTCGCGAGATACAAAGTAACAAAATCGCTCTCGTTTGCTCTGTCATCCATCTGCTATGTACCACACATATCGTCACCCACTGGTACCCTTCGCCTCCTGTCTACGATCCTCGTTGGAGGATCCGAGAAACGTTGCTGTACTTCATGCCATTCGGCACATCTTGGCCACAGAGACGCCAACACTGAGACCGCCCTTGCGCCGACGATATAAGTATGGCGATGTTCACCGGCTTGGTGCTGGAGCTATCGGTCGAGATCCTGAGATGCCCGCCATTCTCGTATCAATAACCCGACGTCCAGCTCAATCTCGCCGTCATGGGGCTGAATCCAAGTCATATCCAGGCTTCATGGCGCCCGTATCACGGCTCACCTCTCCAACGTTTCTGTGTCACTTTAACCGAGCGCATGTCTCGCGGCATCCCTCGACTGGAGAGCAATAAGGCATGACTACGGACACTCAACCGGCGAGACGCGTCTCGAACCTGTCGGTCGCTTGGTCACTTGTCCGGCACCCGCCCGTCCGCCCCACCTGATTCCCGGCTAGACACGACACGGCACCACTCTGCGTCAGTCAATGGAATCCAACCGACGCAGAAGAGACAGAAAAGGAGATTATGATCGAGAAGAAACTCACAGACAGAGAGCCGCCACGGCACCGCCAGGAGTGCTCGGAAGTCCAACGCCGGCCGCTGATATTGCCCCGGCTGGGACGCCACCGCCGATCCAAGGTCATCCAGCAGAGCCCATCATCACTGAGAGCCATTTACTTCCGGGCCACCCAATCTGCGCCTCGAGAGGCGCCCAGTACCCCCAACTTGCCAACGTTGCCAATAATAGGTCGAGGATGATCCTGTGTGAAGTCGCTTCGCTACGCATGAGTTGGTCGGTGCCAGCACATCCTCGTTGTCACCCCATCTAGAAATGGGTCTTCCACCCATCCACCCAGCCGAGCGCCCCTGTCCAGATAAGCCATTGGTTGCAACCCGCACGCGCTTGATCGACGTGCGTTGGCATCCGGCTAGCGGTGGTGCTGTCAAGCCTGACGAACAGCAGCATTCTCATCACTTGCATTGGGCATCGTGCACATCACTGATATTCCGAGACCCAGCAGGCTTTGCAACGATGGGGGTCTCGCTGCCATTGTTTCTCTCCGCGTGGCCATTCCTTTGTGTGCCTGGCGACTATGATCCAGATTGGCACGTCCGTTTTTCATACAGCAGGCTGATGCGGTTTCCAGAAGACGGCACGGATACGTGTTGGCATGGCATGGTAACACAGGCTGCCTCAAACCATTCGTCGGCGAGCGCGGCGGACGCTCGAGCCCCCAGCTGGGTCCTTCCCTTTCCATCGCGTGGTGAGCGTTTGTCCGGGCACCTGCGCATGAATATACCTTGGAAGGGCCCAAGGACTTGCTTGCCTGTTCGCCTTTGTCGGCAGAGTGTGGGTGGTTAGAACTGAATGCGAAACTCTTCTGGGTCTTGTCTAGGCGTAGATGGGTCGTGCTGCCCTGATCGATCAACGTCAGAAACGTCTGTTCAGACCACCAGATGGCCTAATTACCAAATCATCTGATAATGTCTCTGGGCCCGGCACTAAAGGGAGGGAGGGCGCCGACTGTTGTCAATTTCACAGCACCCGCCCAAACGCAATGTGTCAGTTGCCAAATTGAACAATTTCGAGCCTCCAATGGCACCAGGCCTCACGAAAGCAGTGACAGCCGCTGGCGCTGCGCTACCCGCATCTGAATCTGCCAAATACCGCCGTACCCCCAACCCAATCTTGCTCCAACCTGGCAAGACCCCTAGATTCCAGCATATGACATAAGCTGCGGCACAGATATGAGACATTGGAGCGAGATGGCATGTGGTCCGCGGCCGCGGTGTGCGGTCCAGCGTACATAGCACCACGCGGCACAGCTTAAACATCAGCCGAGAGACACGTACCGGTGTATTGAGTGTATAGGAAACAAGGCTCGGGCTCGCTGCCCAATACGTGGTAGAGTTGACTTCAACGCTTTTAAAGTGCACTGGGTTAACCTGCCTTGCCGAGGATGAGTTGACCAAGGTTATGAAAATCTTTTGGTCACTTTGTTCTCGTAATCGGGTTACACCTGGAGCTGAGCCATGGATGCCGGGCACCAAAGTCCTTGTCGGTGCGGCCGGGGACGGAATGCGGATAAGAAAGTGGGTCTACATCGGAGCCCGAGCAAACGATCAGACACACAACAGGAACGAACACGCTGGGGTCCGGTGCGCTTGAAAAGCACATGTGACTTCCAATCATGGATTACAGTCGTCATATCTAGATGGCGCTATCCAGATGACGAAAACGAACTCTGTGAAACTGTCATGCACGACGTGAATGTGTCGGCCGTTTTATTGACCTCTTTCAGTTCGACGGCCATGTTGGCGGCCGCAGCAAACTGCTACCATTAATAGACTACTTCTTACTGGTTCTCTGCGGCTCTTGTTATGTTGTACTGGCACTGACGTCTTCAATGAACGTCTATGGGCCGAGTCGACAAGAATATCTACCATCATAAGCGTGTCATAAGGGAAGCAACAAGTAGCGAATGCGATCTCTAAAGCACCGAGGCGTTGTTGAAATATAATCTTGCTCAGAATTGAATCATATACTTCAGCAGAGTATCCTTAACTGCCTGGCAAGAGATGAGTCCAAGAGGAAGACCATAATGGGTGACGTGACGATAGGTCCGGACCTTGAACACGAGCAGATGCTGTCTCTGGCACAAAGACAACACGACCAGAGAGGTATGAAAGCCGATTCCAAAAAACATGGGATTCGGCGGCCAACATTTCCCCTTGTTTCGGCACTATGGCGGACGTTGATTACAACGGGAGCCGGCGTTCAAGGCCATAGTCTACCCACTATGCCCAACCTTGCCTCCAGCGCATCCCCACAAAACAGTGTGGGAGGAAGGTCAGTTGAGCAAACCGGAGCGCCTTCCCATGCACCAGGCCGTTAGGGTACTAACATTGGCCCGTCTGCATTGCTTCTGTGTTGAGAAACACTAAAGGGAGCGACCGCGCGCATCGACTGCCACCCAGTTCGACAAGCAGCCAGCTCTCTTATGGATTCTCTACGCTCCGGATATAAATGTCTCATATGGAGAGTAGAAATAAGGCACACCAGGAGACGGGAGCCATGGCCGGAGAGTAGAAGCATGGGGTGGACGGGCATTGGAGAAGTAAGTCATGATTAGACTCCTCCAGGGAGTGTGCGAATGAGGACGACGAAAGCCAAACCTATAGAGAGAGTGAGGAGGCTGAAAAGAGGGCCAACGACGGTGAAAACATAGACGACGATCTCAAATAAAGATGGAGCGGTTAATCCTACCAGACTGTAACACAAGTCAGGATTAGCCTGCCTGAACGAGGCCGGATAGCTTCCACTACCTCCTACAACCAATGGACAACAACAGCCTAGCCAAAGAAAACGGGCTCGTTACGCGCAATTCATTCAATACCAAATGAGACCAGCCAGGGCAACCCATCCCGTGGTCAAACCAGCATGCATCTAGGCATGACTTCCCATATGCCTGTGCTAAGCTGCATCATCTAAATGTTTAAAAGTCATCATATCATCCAAGCCATTCCTAACAGGTGACCCGGACCGAGCGGCTGTTTTCCCATGTCATTCCAAGCACATTGCAGACCAAACTCCGGCCCAATTCCCTTCCATCTCATATCTTCATTAAGCCTTGTCTTCCTTGGGCGAATCCTCGGCAGACTCCTGGGGCGAGGTCTTGACCTCCGTCTCCACCTTCTCGACCTCACCACTCTCGTCGGTCTCGGCCTTCTTGGTCTCCACGACCGTCGTCTCGACCTTTTTGGCCCCACTCAGATCCCAGTCGATCTCAGCGCCAGCGCCGTACCGGGTGGCCAACCACTCGTTGGCCTTCTTGAAGTGCCCGCAGTCGAAGAAGCCCCTGGATGCGCTGAGCGGGCTGGGGTGTACGCTCTTGAGGACCAGGTGCTTCTTGGGGTCCACCTTGACGACGCGCTTGCCGGCGGGGGTGCCCCAGGCCATGAAGACGACGCCACGGGTCCTCTTGGTGGCGACGAGGTCAATGACCTTTTGGGTGAAGCGCTCCCAGCCGCGGTTCGCGTGGGAGTTGGCCTCATGAGCGCGCACCGTCAGACATGTGTTGAGAAGAAGGACACCGCGATCCGCCCAGGGAGTCAGGAGGCCGCCCTTATTGGGAGGCGGGGAGAAGGTCGGGTAGTCTTTCTTGAGGGCGATGTACATGTTCTTGAGCGAGGGCGGCGCCGGGGTTGGAGGGCGGACGGAGAAGGCGAGGCCGTGGGCCTGGTTGTGGTTGTGGTAGGGGTCTTGGCCGAGGATGACGACCTTGACAGTGTTGAACGGGCAATGGCGGGACCTGAGCTCTTGGTTAGAACCGGCCTTGTCAAAGTGGTGGGCTGCTGAAGGACCATTGAGAGAAAACAAAGAAAACAAGAAAAACATACCAAGAGTATACATCCTCCTTTGGAGGGAACCACTTCTTGCCAGCATCCGATTCCCTGTTCAGGAAACGCTTGAGATCAAGGAACTCCTTGCTGGTGACCTCGTCCTTGAGCAGTGCCAGCCAGCTCTCGTGCAGCGTAGCGATCTCGAGCTGTAGCAGCTCCTTCTGCTCGGCCGTCAGGCCGGCAACCCATTTGTCCTTGTCGAACTTGGCGGCCGGCGAGACCTCGGAAGCGGCCACACCACCCGCCTTGGCCACCGGTTTTGGGGCCCCGAAAAAAGACATGATGCTGCCATCTTGCTTGGGCTTCTTGTTGTCCGCGGCGGACAGCGTGCCGGCCTTGCGTTTGAGCGTCGACATTGTAGCGTGTGTGGAGGGGTGGGAGGAGGATATCGGTCTGAAGAACCGGAGGTAGTTGGTGACGTAGAACGGCCTTGGACCTAGCCGAAGGTGAACGGAGTAGGTTGCGAGATTGGCGAGACTTAAACGCTCAATTGTATAGTTTTTTTAAGAAGCGTTTCAATGGGTCATCAATGGGAACGACAAGTTTAGTTCGTCGAGGAAGAACGGTGAGGAAGAAAGAGACAGAGAGAAAGGTGATGTGGATGTGGATGTGGAGGAAAAGGAGGTCGGATCTGAAGGAGCATGTAGTCGAGATTTCTCAGCCCTGGTTTAAAGTTGAAGTGCCGGTCTGCGGACCGTCGCGTGTTGACGCGCTACCAGAGAAAGAAAAGCGATTAACGCGTGTTGTAGGCCCGCTATTCTGGCGCGTCTTGAACGAGTTTTAGTGGTTGGTAGGGGACGGGGAGCTGCCTGGGAGCTGCAGCCCTGCAGCGGCCCCGGCTGCTTGGCGGAACGTAGGCAGATTGCCCCTGAGATTCCGCCACTTTTCCACTTGGGACGAAGTGGTGACTTCATACCCTCGAGGTGCGCTTCCGCGTCCGTTATTGGATACTGCGTCCTGTCAACTCCACGGCTTCCCAGCTGTCTTGGATCTTAAACGTGTCTAGGGTCCTGAAATCGAAATGTCAAGAAAACCACTCTGTGGCTTTATTGGGGGGAGGTATCATTACAGTTCAACTAGAAGTACAAGTTTTTTTGTTTCCCCATGTCTAAACCAAACCACCACGGTATGCCTTTCGGCGTGCAAACTCCAGGCCCCGGGTCTTTCCCCTTCGTTAATAACAGCCCGCTCAACGCCCAATAATGCTCGAAATGGAAGAGTTGTGATTCGTCAATATCAGTCCATGTCTCTTCTTGCCTTCTCGTTCACGCCTCTGAACACCCGCTTCCCCACCTCGTAGCTGCTGATCATGATGGCGCAGGCTGGGGCAACCTTCAGAGTCCGGGGGATCCATCCTTTCCACAGGCCCCCTATTCCCTCGGTCGTGAAGATGTGCCACAGCAAGCGCACCATGGAGCCTTGCTCAGCTGCAGCCACCTTGGCAGCATTGGCCCCAGCCACCTGACGCGGGGAATCGCGGTAGACCTGCGTCCTGGTCTTGCCCACGTCGAACGGCATCGTCACTATCGACGCGAAGCCGCCTGATACGGCACCGGCAATAAAGCTGTCCGTCAAGGTTTCCGTGTGGTTCTCCTGGCTCTGAGACCGGCGCCGTGCCTGGGTCCGCGAGCCCCTAGTGTCCAAACTCCGGCCGCGGCGGGTCTCTCGCACATCTGTCAATTTGCCCCGGATCGTCTCGTATCCCCACCAGTACAGGCCCGAAAAGGGCACATCCCTCCACAAGGTCAAGGTCAATCCTCTCCACAACGAAGTGTAGCCACTGGCGCTGACCATTTCCTTGATGCCTCGGAATGTGTTTGCAAGATGGCCGGTTGTCGAGTTGCCAGTTGATGCTTGCATTCTCGTGCGGAACAGCTCGATCGGGCTGACGGCGGCGGCAGCCAGGATGCGAGCTCCCGCGCCGGCGACCAATGGCGCGGTATCGTCGTTGAGCTTTTGCGCGATGGGACTCTTGTTGTTGTATCGCAGCCAGTCGTAGCCAGTAAAGTAGATAATGTTGCCCGGGATCGTCATCAGCAAGGTCGGGGAAAGACCCCTCCAAAGACTGGTGAACCCCTCGTTCCGCGCAATCTTCCTCAGCCCGTCCATTGTCGAGCTGATGGTCTTCCGTTCGACCTCTTGGACGGCACAGTCGGCGGCCGCGGCAGCCGCGACGCCCTCAGCGGCTCTCGGCATCGCGAGGCATAGTTCGGAGGAGTTGTTCATGAAGAACACTTCTCGGCAGCATGCGGTAACTCCGAGGTTCGACGTGTTGAATGTTTTCAGGGTGTCGGTCGTCATGGCAAGGCGCGAGAAATCCACCGTCGGCGGCGTGACGTTTTGGGATTGCCATCGGATTCGGACAACATCGAGCGGCGTCACTGCGCGAGCGTGTTAGCATCGGCGGACGGATCGAAGCGTAGGACAAGGGCTCACCTAGAAGGGACGTCAAAAGACTACCCGACATGGCCGAGATCATTTTCTGCGACGCCGTGATATCATCGTCGCTTCCTCCATTGCTGCTGTCCTTGGGCGGAACTATGCGCGCCATCGGAAAAGAGTCATCGGGATCGAATCTGTCGTGGTCCTGGCCTGCGGTGGCCTGGTGGATGGCAGTCATTGCGGACCAGCTTGCATGGTCGGAGAGGTCGGAGCTAGGGAAAGACGCTGCAGTCATCCGGTCCAAGAGTGGTGCAGTGTGACAAGAGGGAAGTTGTGGATGGAGGTCGGTAGGTGAGGGGAAGTATAAGCTTTCACGAGCTTTTTTCCCGCTCGAGCAAGTGGGAGAGAGACGAGAGAGAGGACGAAATTGGTCTTACCCCGTTCGCCAAAGTCGGCTCGTCATGACTGCGAAATCGGGTGCGCGCTCCGACTCCTGGTCCTCCCCCAAAAATTTGCCGGAGATAATGAAATGGGTGGCGCTCCAGGGCACCTTGCTGGCCGAGCCGAGCCCAGAACCGTTTAGGTGATGTCACGGACCGAGCGCCTGTTCCAATTGGCTGGACCTATTGTGGGACCCTCGATGCGCCACAAATGTCACCGATAAGCACCACGCCGGTGGGACCTCATACGCCGAGTGACTCCAGTTCGGCGTGCTCTGCTTACAACACACAGTCGATGATGAGTGGTCGGCTTTGACTACATCTCATTGCGCGAAACCACTGTACAGCCCTCTAAACCCCCGAAATCGCCACTCGAGACTAACACGGAGCTGATTTTCGAGATTCTCACCGATGTCGCTCTCATAGCAACGACGGCCTCTGCAGCTCAGTTTTCCCGAGCATCCCATATCACAACCATGGCAGACCAGCCGCCGCAGCTTGATTCCGAGCTGGAGTCGTTCCGGCAACAATGGCGCTCAGAACTCAAGACGAAGAAGGTAGTCCCAGAATCTCGGACCTCCCAGCCCAAAAAGAAAACCCCGTCATTTTCCAAGCCTTCCGTCCCGGCAGAAAGCTCAAGGACTGCGGTTCAGAAGAGATCCCAAGTAGAAGAGGACGAGGAGTATGCCCGCTCTATGGTATTTGAGGAACCGGCGCCGTCGCCCTCAGGATCCAATCCAGACGAGCCCGCACCCCAGGAGGCCAAGGAGTTGGTCTCGGCCCTAGACCACTTTGAAGAAGCCGTAGAAAAGGAGGCGATCGGAAGCTTGGGCGACAGTTTAAAGCTGTACCGCAAGGCTTTCAGGGTGAGCATCCCTCTTTGCTAACATGAACGGGATGAGTAGCTAATCCAGGTTTAAAGATGGACAACCGAGTGGACTTGGCATACAGGAAGAAGCACTTTCCTGCGGCCGCCACAAAACCGTCCCAACCATCGCCATCAGGCGCCCAAGCTGCCGCACCAGGTATGGCGGGCAAGCCGCCAGAGACGCAGCAACAGACCATGAGCGAGCTGATTGCCAGCTTCTCTGGGCTCTCTGTAGCAGCAGCACCTCCGCCGGTGGAAGGAGACCCGGCCCCGCCCTGCCCCATCGCAGAAATGCCCCAGGAGATTCTGGTCCACATCTTCAAAGACGTGGCCGTCCTCGATGTCGGAGACTTTGTGCGTCTTTCGTTGGTTTGCAAGCGTTTTGCCTACATCGTCGCCACCGAGCAGCAGATTTGGCGGCGCATCTGTCTGGGCCCCGAATTCGGCTTCGCCGGAATGCATCACCACTGGCAGAGGGGTGTCTCCTGGGAGCCCCTTGAGCAGGAGGAGGACACGGGAGACCTGGAATACGTCACCATGGAGGAGCTGGCGCAACGCCGCAGGGAAGAGAGCGAGGCCACCACCTTTGCGCTGCTGCCTGAGGTCTACTCGTCGTCGTGGCAGAGCATGTTCAGACACCGGCCGCGGATCCGGTTCAACGGCTGCTACATCAGCACCGTCAACTACATCCGCCCCGGCCAGGCGAACGCGAACCAAATCACCTGGAACAGTCCCGTGCACATCGTCACGTACTACCGGTACCTCCGCTTTTTCCGCGACGGCACCGCCATCAGCCTCCTCACTACCGACGAGCCCGCCAGCGTTGTGCACTACATGACCCGGGAGCTGCTCGAGCAGCACCGCGGCGGCGGCGGCGCCCATCTGCCGTCCCTCGTCATGCAGCACGGCCTTCGCGGGCGGTGGCGGCTGTCTTCTGCGCTGGACCACCCGGATGCGCCCCTGGGCGAGACCGAGGACGATCTGTTTGTGGAGACGGAGGGTGTCGGGGCAAAGTACACTTACCGGATGTATCTAGAGGTGCGCAGCGCGGGCAAGGGGAAAGGCGCGCGGAACACCAAGCTCATGTGGAAGGGTTTCTATAGCTACAACAAGCTGACTGACGACCTCGGCGAGTTCGCGCTGAAGAACGGCAAGCCCTTCTTCTTCAGTAGGGTCAAGAGTTACGGCGTTGGAGAGTGAATCCTCGCTCGCGCGGTAGATGAATAAAGCTTGAAACCAATCTGGTCTCTTCGTTCCCGCCATTTGGAAGCCCCAACCCTCCTGCAGACACATGCGCGGACCGCGTCGCCAGTCCGTACTCCTGGCAACACCCTCCCACTCCTGGCCCAGCCTCACAACCGTCTCGCACTTTTCCCGGATCCGCCCCCGCCCATCGCTCCCCAGCGCCTCCCGCAGCGGCACGTCCCGCCCGGCCGCGCGACCGCCTTCTCCGGGTCTCCACCCTCCGTCCCCGAGATCGCTTCGAGCTCGGCTCTCGCCGCGGCATGGAGCTCTGCAAAGTCTGACACGCGTGGCGGGATCGTCGCGATTTTGTGGAACACCTTGGTGCGGAAGTAGCCCGGCTCAACGAGGAGGACTTTGAGACCGGGGGCGAGGATGGCGGGTTCCTGGGCGATGATCTCGATGGCGCCTTGGGGTCCCGTCAACGTCAGTCCCTGCCTCACGGGTGGGGGGGTCCGAGAGACTCACCTTCCAGCGCGAACGTGCTAGCGCAGTACGCCCTCACGTTGACGACGACATGCCACACCGCCTACGAGCTCAGATACACCAGCGTCCCCATGCCTCTTCCGCTCAGAAACGGTAGGAAAGCACACGTGATGTTGAGTGGGCCGTGGAACTTGGTTCTGAAGCAAGTCTCCATCTCCTCCTGCCTGCGTCACGTCAATACCCGAACTCAGCTATAAGCCCTCGGCTGTCAGCTTCCTCACCAGCCTCTCGTCGAAGCTGCTCGAGCAGCCGGTGATGAACCATGTCCTCGGTGTGGGCGCTGCCATCGTTGTATGGTGAGTTTCGGTCCGAAAACTCGGGACCAGGTGTGTCAAGGTTGAAGTGGCACAACGGAGCTGATAGACCAATCCGTCAAAGGTTGGCTTTTCCTGCCAGCTTACATCTGACACGTTGCTTACAGACTATCTGGTCTTTGTACACTTCAAGAGCACTATGGGTAAGAACGCAATTAGCCCGACCTTCGTCTGACTGCATCTGAGCCTTATCATCATCGATAACCATGCATTCTAGGAACAGGGCACTTGCTTGCAGCGCCTAGCGGCTGAGTGCAGATAGCATCGTGCTTACTTTACCAAAATGCTGATGATCTCGATTGCCGCGTGACCTAGGGGTTAGTTTCGGGAGGAACCCTTATCGTACCAGTTGTTCGTAAGGTTGCCACACTCTTCACGCATTTGGGGAAAGCTCGTAAGAAGACCTCGCCCAGGGCAATATTCAATGATAATATTTGCTGGGACATGAATGAGACGGCACAGAGCGGAGGAACCGACCGACGTTTCATCTTTACTTGGGCTAGACGTTCGTCGTCGTTGCCATCGATTCTCATCGAATCATATATTACGGCCCATAAACGGGCGTGGAAAGCGACTTTGGCTTGTAAATGCATCAGACAAAATGATAAATCGCTACATTGATAGCAAAACGCCCCAACACCGCGCAGGATGCTGGTGTTGTTACCCCCTTCCTTTCCCGAGTTGCGAATCCCTTATCCCAAGTAGTGTGAATAGACAGATGTGAAAAGTGCACCGAGTATTGACGAGGTCTTGACAAGACAAGAACACATCATAAGCACTTAGTGGTGACGATAGATGCGCATAAATGCAAATTGTAAATGAAGTAGCCTGGGGTATCAATGTCGCGCCTTTATACCGAGGGCTGTGATCAAGACCACAGCTTGCGCGAATTCGAGAAATACTTCAAGGACCGGCGTAGCGCAGACTGATGAAGGTGGGCGTCCTGGAACCATTGAGGTGTGACAGCAGGAGTACGAGACCCGACAGCATGGTCGTATTCAGACCTGGCCACAGGGACCGTTTCACCGTGGCGTCACCCTCTTGCCATCCAAGAATTTGGGACTCCTGCTGTCGTAGTACATATTGGGAGTCTCCTGTTGTCGTCGTGCTTCGTATGCCAGACGCTCTTCCTCGTCAAGAGAGAAGGCTTTCTTGAGCCAACCAAAGGCGCTGCGCTTCTTTTTGAGTCGCTTCTCTCCACTAGCCGTCATCTGTGAGTCGTATGTCATGGTGGTTACTGTGCTCAGCATACTTGCACCCCCCAGACGAGATGGGGCGTTCCTCTGGTGTGTTGGATGGTACCCAGCCTGACTTTCATACGGCGACCTAGGTTGAGCACCCGCAGTGAGTGGCCTCTGTTGCAGCGGAGAATGCGGGCTCGCTTGCACAGGGCGGTAGTATTGATGCTCTGACCGAGGAGAGGGTAGCACAGGTGGCAGCACCGCCGGAGAAAGCTCGTTGGCCGTGTGGTAACGCGGCCGCTGTTCAACATCTGACCCATAAGCCGAATCCGGGGCGTGGTACTCTTGAGGCGATCCCTGCCCCGTGTGAGGGAGGTTTGTCGCTGGCGGCGGAATCAGGATTGACTCGGGTGGAGTCGTCTTCAACGAGACACGTTGACGAAGCGAGGTCCTTTTTGTCAGTACGGGTGCTTCCGGCTGAGGTTGATATCGATCTGGTTCCGCTGTCGTAGGTGAGGGGAGAGGCTCCTGTGGTTGGGGGGTATACGTCCGTGGTTGGAGAATGTAGAGTGGTGCGTCGTCCAGGGCTACTTCCACCTCCACGTCGCCCACAGGCTCCGACACTGGTCCATCGGGCGCTTCCAAAGTCAACTTTGGTGTGGTCGAATGTGCACTCTTGGTTGTGCGCGTGGTGTTGCCTGTACGCGTGGTGTCGTGTGAGCGCGTGGTTCCGTGTGAGTGTGACGACTTTTGTGAGTTCGAGGTGTTTTGCGAGTTTGTGGTATGATATGAGCGCGTGGTGTTATTCGAGTATGACGTCTTGTGTGTTTTGACTGACTGCTCATCTGGAGAAGCGGCCGGTGATGGTCTCTGTAGCGGCATATCAAAATACGCGGTGTGCGAGCTTGACCTGCCACCAGTTGAGAAGGAGCCGCTCACGCTGTTTGCGCGTAGAGTTGAACGCCTCGCGGCCCTGGATGATGGGGGCGAAGACGGTGGAGAGTTGAGTGAGGCTTCTTCGATTCGGGCGCCTTGCAGAGGCAAGGTGAAGGGAGGGATGCTGGCCTGCAATATTGTTAGCACCGCACAAGAGTAAGCACATGAGGCTTCGACTCACCCAGGTTCTCCGACTTACTTCACCGGCCTTCTTACTCATTTCTGCCACCATTTTCCCGAGCTTGATAACCAGGGAGTTCAGCTCTTTGCCCTGAGCCTGCAGCTCCACAAACGCATTGTACCAGCCCTCAGTGTTGCCCTTCATGGCAGTGTAAATGTCAACGACGTCTGGACGATCTTGACGCCAAATGCCCGTATTCTGCTGAGCCAGATAAATGGCGAATTCCTTGGTCGCGGCCAAGCCCTGCTGCACATCCTTGTCGTATTGTTCGAGCTGGATGTTGGTGCGGGCCACGATGTGCTCAATCTTCTCGTTTCCCTGAACGATCTCGAGCCGAAAGTTGCGATCCTCCAGCATTTTCTCAAAGGCGTCTAGGTTCTCCATGGGCAGACGGAGATAGTCGATCCTCTCCTTCAGATCCTTGGTTGCCTGATCAAAATCCTCCATGACCACTTCAAGAAACTCGTCCACTTCGTCGATATGCCCCTGCAGAATGCTGACAACCTGAGCCGCGCTGTTAGCCATACCGTGCAGCAGCAAGTACACCCCGAAGGATATTTGGGCCATGAGCTTTTGAAGCTCGTGCTGCTGTTGGCCGGGCCGATAACGCCAAAGCATGTCGGGCAGCTCATCTTCGCGCTCCTGGCTAATAAGCTCTTCACGACGGACTTTTGCGTCGGCAGTTTTGAGTTTTGGCTTGTCGGCGGGGTTACCATCAGCGACCTCAAGAAATGACTCGGCAAAGGCGGCTTGCATCGAGGGGATGGGATGGCAAGGGACGTTGGGGCTGCCCAGTGTTGGAGACTCGTTGTTGGCTCGGCGCGCGTTGCGCTCTGGGATCTGGGGCACGGTTGCCGTGGTGGGTGTCCGTTGAGCGTCCTCATCGTCGCTCTCAAAGATGGGTGAAGGATAGCCGTCCGAAGGAGATAGGAGAACGATGGGCAGATCCAGACTCAAATCGAGGGTATTGCTGGCCCCGAAGGACATGCGCGGGAAGCCGGTCGAGGTAGCCATGGCGTACAAAAGCTGCGTCTCGGAAGCTATAGACGAGCGGCAGTGACCATTGGTGTGCGACGATTGTCACAGCCGCTCGACAAGGCGGGCGGATCGGCAGGTAATCGGTATCGTAGGATGTGGCAGGCCGAGGAGCCAAGCTGGGGGCTCGATGTACGACGCTGTGCGACGCGAGCGCTTAGGGAGAACCACCACTGTCACTGCCGGTCTCACAGATGATTGTGGTGGTAGTTGTCGCGATTGTTGGTTGGACAAGAGGAATAGAGGACGAAGATGGACAAAGAGAGAGCCGCGCCGGAGGAAGGAGAAAAAGACCGTGTTCAGCAGTCGCACATAGACATGACAGGCAGGATAGCCCCTGGTTGGTGAGGAGGGGGAGGGGGGCTGAGAAGGGTTAGAACGAGTAAGAATAGGTCCGCGGTCTGGTCGTGGTGGTGGTGAAGAGGGTGGGCGAGAGCGAGCAAGGAGGGAGGGCGGGAGGCAAGGCAAGGCCAGACAGGGTAAGGTATAGTGTAGATTATAGTGCGAAGTGGGATAATATTAGGATTACGAATAAAGGGTTTAGGTTGGGATTAGGAAGCGGAAAGATGGAGGATTGCAAGGGCCAAGCTATGACGAGGGGGACGCGGAGGCTCAGTCTTGGACGCAGATGGCGGGGAGGGCAGAAGAGTGCATTCCAGTCAAGGCTTGACCGGCCCCAACGATGCAGGTGACGCAAGGCAAAGTGGCGACGGCGACGGCGACAATGGCGATGCTGGAGGGGGCGGAGAAGGCAAAGGTGAGGCGAGCGAGGTGCAAAGTGACTTTGGAGTTGTTGAAGAGGTTTAAAAAATAATAATCAGAAAATCAAAACCAAAAAGTCGAGAGGAAAGAAAAGGGCAAAGAAGCTGTCCTTTTCGGCCGGAAGATGGATGGGATGGATGCCCTGGACCATAACTCCGTGCCTTGACTGGAATGAAAGAAAGAAAAGAATGGATTGAATGGCTCGAATGCCGGGGAGTACGCTAAGGCAAGGCAAGGCAAGGCAAGAGCAGGCAAGGTGGTGGTGGAAAAAAGAGAGCAAGGTATCTTTCGACGCTACTGTCCAAGCAGTAAAATGGTAGGAGTAAAGGTGGTGCAAGGTACGGAGCGAGGACAGGCCAGGTATGGATACATGTGTCGAGGTACCTTTACCCGAGATGGACGTGATCTCAAAGAAAGCAAGGTAGGTAGTTTAGGTGGGTGCATGCCAAATCGTCCGTGAGGTAGCGTACCACACTTCATACCTGTCTGTAAGGCTACCCTATCCATCTGGAGCCCCATTCTCTCTTGGCGTCAATCTGTCACATCTGACCGTCATCAGGGCTTCAACATTTGGCGAGATCAAAAATCAATCAATAAATCAATCAATAAAAAGCAAGTGCTGCTGGGTGGTGGTGTTGTTGGTTGGCACTGGAGTTTGACACTGACACTGACTGGCATTGACGTGGACGGTGGCAGTGACAGTGACATGGACCTGGCCGTGGACGTTTGTAGTGCTGTAGCGTATGTACCTATGCATGTACTTTTCTTACAGTACCTAGTTTACCTACTGCAAAATGACACTCCCCCCTAACCCGACCGCCGCTGGGAGAGTGGGGGGGGGGACCTAAGAAAAGAGACGAACGGGATGACAAGTCTTCCAGTCGCATCGCTTTGCGGCGCTCCCTTTCCCCCTTCTCCCCCGTCCTTGCGTCTGCGCCCTCGCCCTTTGTTGGCTGTGCTGTCTGTGTCGCATTGTCTCGTTGCTGCAACTTTCGTCCCTGCCTTTTCTCACACCCCCCCCGGTTTCCCCTTTGCTCGTCTGCATCTCGACGGAAAACTCAGCATGTACGGATTCTTCATCTCCTTCTTCAAAGTTGAAACCAACTTGGTCATTCCACGCAGCTCATCAATCAGATCATTCCGTCGATCCGCTCCCTCCCCCTACTCCTGGCCATCGCATCGCTCATCTACTGCGTGGAGGCGCCTCCGTGTACCCCAATGAGGCCATGGAGGGAAGAACCCAGCAGCACCCGCCCACCGCCCCCTTGGAGAGAGTTCAACGTGCACCACCACCAAGTCCCCCCTTGGACCCCTGTCGCCAGTCGTCTTTTCGCAGTTAGCCTCCTTTTGGTTCCTCCAAACCCCTGAACAGAACGGGGAAAGACATGGCAGGACGGAAAGGGCCCAGAACCGCCCGATGGCTCACCCAGACTGGAACCTTGCCGCAGGGGCCCCTCAACTTCGACCCAGAACCCAGAACCAGCTCTGATGAGTCTCACCTCATCTCTCAGTCGCCCACGCGGCCACTTCGGTCTCTAGCACCCACTACAGTCGGTGACGGTGACATGGACTTTCGAATCCGGACCTGCATGTCACGCCGCCCCTCTCTTGCGGTTGCGTTGTATCTGCACTCTGATAGTCCTTGCGCTGCCCGGCCCGCCTGAGCTCAAGGGACCGACCACTTCGGTCCTTCACTGCTTCCACGCCCTCATCCTGCGGGGAGCCGCCATCGGACATCGATATTGGAGCTTCATATACCGTTACCATGCCCAGACCGGCATGCCAGGGCACAGGAACGACTGCCACTCCGCAGTCCGGGCGGGTGCATTCCCATCGCCGGCCCCCTACGGGCCCTGTCTGTTATCACTTTTAGCCCCCCCGAATACCAGGCTGTAAGCTCGCAACGATGGGAACAAGGCGATGGCACAGACAGAGCGCAACCCGACAACTTGCTTCCGGTTATTTGTGATCACCAAGAGCCATGATAATCGACGCACCCAAGGGGAGAAAGGAAAGAAAAGGAGAAAAAGAAGAAGCAATAAACACACCGAGACCGTTTCTTGTTTACTTGGGGCATGTAAGGTCGAGTCTGTAGAGTACATGTACTCCACGCCACCGGACTGGCTGACTGTTTCTCCAGTCGCGGCACTACTGGTTACTGACTCTGTCGCTGAACACTATTCGGCGGTGTCCACACATGATGCATCGACTGCCACTTTCCCGTTCAGCATGGGGGAGAAAAAAAAAAAAGCTCGCCCACTTCCCTTTCCACCCCTACCTTGCATCTGCTGGCCTGCATCTGCTACGCCATCGACACACTGCTGCTACTGCTCCAGCTTGCGCCGACGAGATGCCCGTGAAAAGCATGTCTCGCTTGGTCCTGCGGCCATGGAGGCAAATGTATCTGTACCGACGTCTAGGTATTGCATCGACGTACCGACACACGTAGGTACACTACACTACACTCACCGACAGGCACTCTGCTCGGTGGGCCGGCAACCTGCACAAACCCGTACCAGAACCACGGAACATACGGACATTGAACCTCGCGTTCTCCCCCCACCAGCCGGCGTCTGCTCTCTCCGCAACGCCGTCAGGAAACCGGCAGCGGTCGAATGGCTCTGGGCCGGGTCACCAAATTGCAATTCCAGCGTCACATCCACTGTGAGGAAAAGGCCGGCCAGCCATTGACGCAGTAATCGCGCCTCGCCGGCCCAGCATATGCACGCTGGCACGCTAAAGCAGGCGGGCAGATGTTTCGTCAGCCACCAAGCACGGCAGAACGCACCGCTCTGCTGCCTTTTCATTTGCAGGTGCAATCCACGGCCCCCGTCCCCCAAGACGAGACAAGGTACCTTACCTTAGGGCCACGAGACTATTCACTTGGTGCAGCGACGAGGCTCGATTCGGATTGAACCCCTGCTGATGACAGCCAGCCTGGGACACCGTCCCATGACACACCTCCTCATTCATCTTCTTTCGTAGACGGATGTGGGTGTTTTGGGGAAGTTCGTCGCCGTTGCCAGCCATCCAGCCAGCCCATTCCAGAAACACTCATCCGGCCTGCCCAATTAATAACTCGCACCCATATGGCGGGGTTGAAAAGGCAGGATGAGCACTTGATTGGGCGTTGAGGTGCGGGCACCTTCCTCTCTCGAGATTGAATTGCTGTCTTGTTCCATTCGACGTGCCATTGGACGTCCGTATGGGATGACAATGTCACTCCTTCCTGCAACCTCGCCCTCCAGAGGTGCCTCTTTGGTCGACAAAAGCAGGGTCTGGGGAACCTGGCCTTGCATTTGCCTCGCCTGCTTTTCGCCCAGTCCAGCCCAGCCCCACCTGGCAAGCAAAACCCGACTGTCGCCAGGCAGCACAAGCGCCCATGTCGATACAGGTACAGAAGGAGGACCATTGTCCAGAGAGGGTGGCGCGGATTCTGTCCCTTGTGCGGCAAGGGGCCATTGGTACGACCAAGATCGTATTTGGCTTTGCCGTGCCTATCACCAAAATCGCCCCGCCAGACCGCTCTTCATCGCTCGCCAACGACGGCACGAGTCGCAGAGTGGCGAGTGCCCTGGCGATCCCTCGACTATTTACGGTGCACCCTTTATTCCGTCTGTGGTCTGACATTGGAGTGGCAGCTCCCCACGTGCCTGGTCTCCAGCCGCACGGCCTTTGGTGTTTGAAGCGGTAAAGCTGCTCCTGACTCTCAAACCGCCGACCACGTCGACTACGCGCACCGTCTCTCGTCGCCGGTTGGCATTAGGTTGCATCGACGGCTCGCTTCTCCGGCCTCATTCCCAACTGTGGACACAGGCTCACTATCCCGATCGATCGGCCTCGTCTACCGTCTACACTAGAGCCCGCTTGCGCAGTACTCCCCTTGGCCGACCCCTGGGAGACCTTCTGTATCGATCAAATGGGATATTTGACCCCGTCCACGATGAGCAACTTGGGCTCTTGGCATATTTCCCCCAGGCTTCGTTGACCGCCGGTTAGGATTGGCCATGACATCCCTGACGTGGCTGGACCAGGGGAGATGAAAAGAGACGAGAGAACAAAAGACGAGATGAACGCCTGAGCCTCATTGAGTTCGTTCGACAACCCCTGGCGCTAGACGGATGTCTCGTCTGTGCGGCTAATCACTTGAGGCCCAACTGCGAACACGGAGAATTACTTAGCATGCCCCCCGTCGGGATGACATGAGACAAATAGAAGCCTCGGCCCAAGGAACTGGAGCTGTCAATCTCAGCCTTGACTCTCGACTGCACCATCACGTCTGGGCCTGCCAACACGAGGAGCGGTCGCTTCCATGCGGCCCGTTGTGGCTCTGGTAAACCAATAAATGACCCAAACCGGTCCGCTGATTTCCATTACAGTCGGATGACCTGGGCGAGTCAGATTAACGCTTCCCGCTTGGCGACTTGTGCTGACTGCATCTGGCAATGGTCAATATTGGGTTGACGGAATATTGGCCCTTTCGAATATTGCTAGTCCACACCTTAAGAGATCAGCAACGCGACATGGTCGCCAGAATGAAAGCAAGGGGAAGGCGATTGGGCCTTTTCCAAGATGACGAGCATGATAACGCGACGGGCCACATTCGGCAGGGCCTGGGTGGAACTTGCACGACACTGCTTCCGTATTGCCGTCGCCTAGGGGTCACTTTTAGGCAAAGACGGCCACACGGTGGCTCCTGTGGGATCAATAAGTCGTTGACCCCCTTTCCAACCCTCGCGCGGCAAACCAGTCCTTCAGCGTGGATTGCTTTGTGGTGGCTCCCCTCCTGGGTCGGAGAGTGGCGTCCACATTTGCGTCGCGCTTCGCTTCTCCATCCCAACGCAAGCGCGGAAATGACAGGCACCCACGATTCAGTCGTTTTGCACAACAAGCGCGGGCTGCAAGGCATGACCCGGTTCCGCACCCGTCACACCTCTACTCGGTCCAAGTGGTTCCCTTGTGGCACTCTCGCCCCTGGAACGGTTCTTGATCGACAACCGGTTCATCTGGGGATCGATCTACAATGTGCTTACCAAGGTTGCGAAGAACAATCTGCTGTCTTCTCTGCATGAGCCTCACCCCGCAACATGCACGTCTTTGCCCGGGGAATGACAGAGGTGCGACGAATTGCATGAGGAACAGAGAATGGCAAGCCATCTCCAAGCCACGATGGCTTGTGTTTGTCTCAGCCCTGGGGCTTCGGAGCACACTTCGCAGCGTAGCCAGCGAACGGGCGACTAGCCATATGCGCCTCCTTGACGAAGTTGGCTCTTCGCCGCTGATGCTGGACAAAAGGCACGAGGCTTCTATCAAAGTCAAGAGCAGCCACGGTACTATACCGACAACGTGCCCCCTATCCTCTGCTTACCCAGCGCCAGCCACGCAGCATAGCCGAGAGAGCATATGTAGACACATGTGGATTTTTTGACTGGACGCGATCATGTCAACTATCTCGTCTCACGGTCGCGCTCCTCAACACAGCCGAGAAGAAATCCTGCAGGAATAGCAGACCGCATCTACGATGTGGCTTTTCGGATGGACCAGAAAATTTCCAGGAACGCCGGCGTCCCCTTTTTCGGGGGGTCAACATCATACATACTTCCCCCCACATCATCTCCGGCTAACTGCAGCAACGGTCAAGACCCTCTTTCAGGCCCAGGTCCCTAGACCAAAAAAAGCGGAAAGAGCAACCAAAAAGAAGAAAAAGGCCACATCGCTTCCGTCACTTCGCCTGGGGTCGCTGAAATACACTACTACACTGCATCGTCACACCCCGCGGCTCAGCTACCTGGGCGTATCATTAAGCATCGTCACAACATAGCTGTCAACACCAGCTCCCTCTTGGAGTAGGTCCGCCGCGCAGCTTCAACAGAACGCAGTATCCCCGAAGACTATACTCAGTATTAATAGGCCATCTCGGCAGATGGTGTAGTACGATAACCGGACTTGACTGTACACTATCCACTGCACGCGACATCGAACCCAGCACGGTGTCATCCGGACTGGGTCATCCTGGCAGCGACGTGATTGCGCTTCTCGGCCGGCGGAGCCGACCCCTGCAACTCAACATTCCGTGCTGGGAGAGGTAAGTCGCCCCATTCAAATCCTCTCAGATTCTCGAACCGCCCGCATTCTCGGCTCAACTCCAAAAATTCACCATCGTGAAGAGCAAAAGGCATCAAAGGCCTTTTCTAGCGGGATCCCACTAGACAGACCACGATGCTCGCTGCCTTTCGCTTTGGGACGGATCTTTGGGATCCGTCTCACCGCTTCGAGACCTCGTGGCTCTTGTCCCCCTACCTGCTAGGTGCTTGTCGGGCGCTGATCGTGAGTTTTGCCCCCCTTTTCCCCTTTTCCTTGTCGCGTGCCCGAGGGCCTCTCCAGCGTGCCTCAAAACACCATCACTTGGATTTGTTTTTGGGCCTGTCCAGCTGCGCATTTGCGCAATGTCATCCATCCAAAGATCTTGGCGAAGCGGAACCTAACCTCTCCTGCAACAGAGTCTCTACATCTTCGTCGTCCGCTTCTTCGTCATCGGCTGGACGTGTAATCGTGCCGAGTACGGCGGGTGCGAGGCTGTCGGCCAGAGCTTCTCCTTCTTCACCGTCCTTACCTACTGGGGCTTGGGTTTCTACTTCCTCATCTCGGCCATCCACACTCTCACGTACGCCCGCTCCGGCAGCCCGCTGCTCGAACGCTTCCCGCGACCTCTGCAAGCCCTACACGCCTTTTACTACACCACCATCGTCACCTACCCGTTCATCGTCACCGTCGTGTACTGGGCCATAATCTACGCCGGGCCATGGTACCCCGACCAGTTCAGCGCCTGGAGTAACATCTCCCAGCACGGCCTCAACTCGGCCTTCGCACTCTTCGAGATCGTGGTCCCGCGCACCAGCGCCGCCCAGCTCGAGTGGGTGCACATGCTCTGGCTCATCATCGTTTTGGCGCTCTACCTTGCCCTTGCGTACCTGACGTATTACACCCAGGGCTTCTACCCGTACACCTTCCTCGACATCAAGGCCAATGGCAGCGGCAAGGTGGCTGCCTACATTGTGGGCATCGCCGTCGCCGGCATCGTAATCTACCTCATCGTCAAGGGTCTCATCTGGCTGAGGGAGTGGGTGACGGAGAGGAAGCTGGGCATGGATGGCAAGTTTGCCCAGCAGCGCTACCACAACTACGATACCGAGCTGGGCACCATCAACTCCAAGCACTGAGGTGGGGGTTGCTGAAGCAGCAAGGATTACACCATTAATCTAGACGGTTCAGCTACGATAGACCTGTGTAATAGGGATCGGTTGGCTGGCTGTTTGGTTGATTAGGGGGAAATAAGGACTGGAAGCGAGCGTCGCATTGTTATTATACCCGAGGGGCCTTGATGTGTGCCCTGCCATGATTCGCATCACGACTTGAAACCGGCGCAAAGAAAGGGAAATGCATCCAGTAGTGGTAATACAGAACAAATGTCTAGTGTGATGGTACAAGTAATGCAAACATCTAAATCGCTACGAGGGGGTCAGTCCTTTGGGCTGCTACGTTGTGAAGGCTAGCACTTCAACGAGATGCCCCTCCTCATCTCCGACTCTCTAATCTCAAACATGATTTGGACGCCCATGTACAGCGACGCGCAAGCAATCATGAAGAACATTACGCCTGCAGACTGGGGGTTAGCATCGGGTACTGAAACGGAAAACCCATGGAGGGGGGGCGGCGGTGGCACTCACCTGACCAGTCGTGCAGAATGCCGTAGAGGATGCTCTGCAGGCCGTCCAGGCCGACAGCGAAGCCGACGAGGTTGGCAATCATCATCATGAGCACGTTGGCGACGGCGCCGAGGCCGCAGAGCCGGCGGTACGCGTCCGGCCGGCCCTCCCACTTCCTCGCCGGGAACAGGAGCTGCGCGAGGACCTCGGGCAGGAGGAAGAGCACAATGAGCCAGCCCCAGATGAGCAGGCGCAGGCGGATGTCGTGCCATAGGGCGACAAAGGTGAAGACGAGCAGGTACGTGGCGATGGAGCGGACGGTGGTGGCCCAGGAGCGGAAGTTGGCGCCGCCGAGGGGGATGTAGATATAGCGGATGAGCCAGCGGTTGTAGGAGCGATGCCAGGCCTTCCAGAAGGACTTTGGCGACCAGTTGTTGGAGACGCAGCGGAGCATGTTCTCCGGGGGGTCGACGCCGTCGAGCAGGGCCCAAAGGCGGAAGAGGCGCCAGGGGAGGAGGAGCTTGAGCCAGATGATGTGCAGGTTGAAGAAGGAGAGGAGGGAGAGCTGGGCGGGCGTGTAGGTGGACCAGTCCGGGCCCGCGTGGGAGATGGCGCAGACGTAGTCGTAGTGGAGGATGACCTCCATGGCGAGGAGGACGAGGAGGAAGCGGACGGCGTAGCGGACGGTGCGATGGGTCTCGATGGTGGCGGGCGGGTGGCGGAGCTGGGAGATGAAGTCGTTGTAGGTCATGATGGGCCCGACGAGGTATAGGGGCGCGTAGATTGCGTAGGCGACGTAGTTGCGGAAGGAGTAGTCTCGGGGCGCGGCCGAGATGGCGAGGCGGTCGCGCTCCGAGAGATTGGCGGGGTCGAGTTGCTTCTTCTTGAGGACGTCAGTGCTGGCGGAGAGAAGGAGGGGGGCTCAGGGGCCGTGTTTGTCTGCTGGTCTTACCTCTAGGGGCTCCCGCTCCGCTGATCGAGGCTGAAGTAGTAGTCCAGGTTGAAGCTGATGAGCCGCAGGACGGTGATGTTGAAGAGGATCTCCCAGCGGCCCATCAGCCCGCCGTGGCGGTCCATCCAGCTTCCCCAGCGCACGAGGAACGGGTCCTCGTCGAGAAGGTTCTTCCCCGAAGGCGGCGGGGTGATGTGCCGCGCGATGGCGGCGAACTTGTACCCCTCGCACAGCTCGTTGGCGAAGAGCATGCAGATGTTGAAGACCCAGGTCGCGGCGGGGACGTGGCGGCGCGGCAGCCTCGTGGCGATCTGGTAGTTGATGTGCAGGATGGCGAGGACCTTCAGGGCGGAGAAGCCGTGCAGGGCGACGAGGAAGACAAGGGCGAAGCGGTAGTCGAAGGAGGCGCGCTGCTCGAGGCGGGCGTCGCCCTGCTCGGCGGCGGACTTCTTGTTCAGGTCGGCGGGGACGGGGAAGACTACGTTCCAGAGCTTGCGCAGAAGGGGGTGGAAGGTCAGAAGGATGGCCATGAAGGGGAGGTTCTGGCGGAAGGTGTGGTATTGCGAGTCGGATACGTCCTAGAGGATCTTGTGCGTGAGTTCGTGCCTGGTATCGCGGGAAGGGGGGTTTCTGTCAAGAGGTGCGGCTTACGATCTTGCGGCCCGGAATCCAGCCGTCCGAGAGGAAGCGCTCGTACTTGTGATATCGGGGGTCTGAGGCTGTAGAAGGGCAATGGGCCGTCAGCAAATGGCTCCTCAGGGGTCTCTTCTGGACGGGGACCAACGTACTTCTCGAGACCTCGTAGGCGATCCAGAACATGTACGGCACGATGCCGCCAATGAAGATCACGTAGAACCAGTACTCGGGGGTGTTCCATTTCGATGGCTGCGCGCGGACGCGGGCCTTGGCCGGCGGCTCCTTGCTATGCGCTGGGTCGGCGCGGGCCTCGACGACGGTCTTGTAGGGGACGGAGGAGGCGTTGGTGAAGCGCGTGTCGAGGTTGTCGAGGTCGTAGATGCTCCTCAGGAACCTGAGAAGGGCGGCCATAGCTGCGGCCGCGAGCTCTCCGGGGAGCTGCTGGTGCGCACGTAAATAAGGGCTGCAAGAAGGAAAGAAGCCAACGACTGGATGTTTCTAGATCATTGTCAATGAAGCAGTGAAAATAGAGCAGCTCGAGCGGAGCAGGTCGTGAAGAACGCCGTCAGTCGATCGGTGGGAATAGGGTTCGCGATGTGAGAGATTGGAAAATGAGGGATGCAGAGTGGTCTCGTGTTCACCCCCCAGATAGACCTCGCATTTCCGTCCCATATGTCCCGACCGGGGGGGTATTTTTGTGACGCAAAACTACCCGCTAAGCTAAGCTCGGACAAGGGTTGACAGGGCACCTCTTTCACCCGCGTAACAGCTCGACGGTTAGCTGCACTGCCCGCAAAGCTGGGGCTTCGGGGTCCTTTTTTTCTTCCTTTGGCCCCAACGGTGTTGAGCAACACCCAATTGGCGGGGAGGATCGACAGAACCCCTTTTTTGGTACTGGGGTCGACGGAAGTCAGTGGGCTAGGTATCGACCTCTTCAATACCTTGGTACCGAGCTGCTACAGAAGTATTCCGGCCAATCACAGCCACCTCATATCAATTAGGTTGCAACAACATCACAAAGCAGTTTCTGAACTAATCGCAATCTGCACATTGCTCCGTTTGAGCTAATAAGTGAATTCCTTGCTTGAAAAATATGTATCTTGTCTATTCTAACTGTTTACGTCTTTGTCCGGAGAATGGTTTGTTCTTCGTATCCGGCGCCGACGTGGGGCCGATCAATCCTCCGGCCATCGTCAGACATGGAGAAATGGTCAAGCATCTTCTATAAGACTCTAGCAATCCTTCCTTTATGTTGTCGTTTGCTGCCCTTCCAATCCCTTGCGCGCCGCGTCTTCACACAAGTCCGTCACGCTTTGGTTATTCATGATGATAAAGACGGAGATCTCGAATTGAGAAGTTCTTGGTGAACCAGTACCGGGTCTTGACGGCGATGAGCGAGTCTACCCCGAGCACATAGGCCGGCTTTCTCACGTCGAGACTTTCAGGCGATACCGATACTGAATTGGCTAGCTTCTGGATCAAGCCATGAGCCACGGCCTAGCCGGCGTCTTCCAGGGTGGCGGCGGCCATGATGAGGCCGATGTAGTCAAATTACCCTTCCTCTTGAGAGGCCCCGTTGTTGTCCTCTCCTGTGATATTCTCACCAATACACGGAAGACGGCTGAACAGTAGCTTCTTCGGCCATACAATCTGGCCTTCTTCGGTCGGATTGTATATATGCGAGGGCTTTTCCATGGTTGTAACTACTTGAGCGTTGCCGCCGGCGCAGTCGTAGGATGAGTCGCATACGACGTCTAGCAGCGCCATGAGCTTCTCATTGTGTACGCCGCCGTACGTCCGGAGGTTGGACGTCTGAGTGACGCTGTAGCGGTCAAACAAATCTTCGAATGTACCGCCGACCGCGTAGTTGCTTTGGCCAGGGTTGCCGAATATACCACAGAACGACGAAAGGAGCACAAGGAAGTCCGCATCCTTGGGTAGCAGCTCATTTAGATTCCACGTATCCATGCGTTTGGGACGGATAGCATCGTGAAGCTGTTCCATAGACATTTTCGGTATTGCTTCGTCCTAGAATGCGGAAAACGCAGTTCATTAGCCACAATGCACTTTTGGTACATGTCTGCTCATGTGACTCGGCACTTACATTAAGCTTCATAGCGCCTTAGATGCAGCCTCGGATAGGAGGAAACTGTGATGCTGCATCCTTCAGTACCTGATCAAGCGCGTTGCGACAGTCGCAAGGCGGAGCCAAGATCCTCGCTCCTAGGGCCTCGGCTTCTTTATTGAACGACTGTGCCCCTGGAGATGAAATGGGTCCGCTACGATTGAGGAGCAAGATATATCTCGCCCCCCGGCCAATCATCCAATGTACGATCTCGCGACCTAGGCCACCAAGGCCACCGGGCAGCACGTATGTTGCCTGTGCCGAGACACTGTATGCTGGCCTGATGGCAGGCTGGAAATATGAATCCATATAATCGCGTAGTCCAAGGTTTGCCGTAACATGGCCCGACCTGCCTTGGAGGGTATGCGGGGGTGATCTCGTTAAGAAGCTTGAGACGGACGTATGCTGTTCGGACCATAGAAGGATATTGGAGATATGTCGAAGACAGTAGGGAGGGAAGGAATTCTTTGGCAATTTTGAACTAATCCAGCTTCGGAACTCAAGTGGGAAGCAATTACGCGGATTCGCTGAATTTCAAATAAACAGCGAATTCCTGAATGTGCTACTCATAAAAGGAAGACAGGAGTAACAAGCCGCAGATTAAAGGGACTTCGGTCCATGAATAGGGCGCCGACGGAGTCTACTATAGCTATGCCGGTCCTGCCTGGGGAAATTTAAGAGATCATCACGAAATAATCACTCGGTTTCGGGGTCGCGATGACTTTGTTTAACGTCCTCATGGAGGAAGTGAGCGCGGGATTCACTCGCATGCTATGCAATCGGGCCCAAAGCTCTGTTGTGTGCATAATGAGATAAGATAAACATATTCAGGGACAATATAGACACTGAATCGAATGCGCACAGATATGGAGTATGAACTCCCACAAAACGTTGGACTTTGCATCGTCTCGCGACACAACCGCTGTGCTTATACACCCTTCAAGGCAGCAGCTCGATGGCGTCAAAGCTAACACCAGGGCTGAGGAACTTGGAGCCGGAGCTGCCGCTGATGATGTTGATGGTGAGAACCTGCCACTCGCCTGTGCTTTGGATCCAAGCAGACTGGGGCACGGCGTAAGTCAGCTTGACGTTGTTGCCGCGGTAAGTACCAACGGTCAGCGAGCGCGTGCTGGCTTGGTTGGTGGCCGCGGGCAAGGGCGAGGCCCATGAGTTGACGTTGATAGCGGGGCGGCCGCCAATGTAGGCCTCGGTGAGACCGATACGGACCGTGTGGCCAGACGTGAGCTGGTCGGCGGTGAGCTTGAAGTAGATGATGTAGCCGTTATTAACCTCCTGAAACCTTTGTGAGCATCGAGTATAGACAGGGTATGTATCTTGGGGAAAGCCGGATGTTGGAATATGCTTACCTTCCACATGTAGCCTGGGAAGCGGTTGGTGCTGTGCGTGCCGATGATGAAGTTGCCGACGTTCCAGGTTGAGATACGGGAATCCGAAGGGTGCATGAAGGTAGGCTTCATAGGGGTATCCTCGAAATTCAAAAAGCCCTTTGGAGTGCCATCTACGTCATAGTCAGCACAAGCTTAGTGACGAAGTTTGGGAATTAGGACTTCAACACACCCCACTCGCCAATGCGCCAGATGGCGGCAGCATCCTGCGGGTCAACGCAAGTGATGGTGTTGACAGCAGTACCAGCACCGGCCTTAATAGTGACAGATGAAGTGGCAACCTCAAGCTCGTCCTTGTACACAGTCAGAGTGTAGGTACCAGGGATGACCTTGGTGATGGACCAGGCACCACCGGCGCCTGCGGTCCCCCAGTATTGCGCAACAGAGTTGGAAAGCCCAACGACGTAAGTTTTGCCGGACTTCATGTTGGCGAGACCAACGCCAGTGGCGTAGCCACGGCCCGAGGCAGGGACCCAGCCGTCAAGCTAGACACGAGGTCAGTGAACAGGCTACTGCAGATGATATCAAGAGAGGGAACGGTACGCACGCCCTTGTCGTCGAACCATGACCAGTCAGCCTTGCGAGCAAAGAGATTGGCGTTCGGATCCTCGCCCGAGGTGAAGGCCAGGACGGATGGGCCCTGAAGACCCGTACGCATTGGGTCGGTGTGGCCCATGTTGTAATAGTAGATGTCGTACAAGTCCTCGCCGCCGGGATCGGCGCGACGCAGAAGGGATCTGAAAAAGGGGCCGCCGGAAGCCTTGTATTATGTGTCAGTGTGAACGAGAGGTACGGGGGTTGTGTTGGTGGACTCATCTCATGGTTGCTTCGGATCATGAACAGACCAACACCGCTCTTCTTACGGCCGATGAAGTCGTCTGGAAACAATCAGCAAACCTTCCCAAAAGACTAGGAATTGAGTAGTATTACAGTCAATGGTTCTGCAAGCTGTTAGTTTCTGTGCGAATCGAGGCAAATGGAACACATACCGGCCGTAGTTGGAGCCCTGGTAGTGCTTGCTCTTGGTCAAGCCAGCGCCGTTGACGTTGATGTCCTGAGCTTCGATAATGCTGCTACTGCTGTCGTAGAAATCCTTTTTGGTCCATTAGCTGTCAACATGTCCGAAATCCGACGTTGTGATTACATACGCTTTCGGTCGAGCCATGGGAGAACAACCCGCCCTTGATGCGGACAATGTATCGCATGGCGGACACAGAGTCGTCTGCCTTGTTCGTAAAGAGGTAGACATTGTTGTTTCCATAGCGGACGAAGATCCAGTGCTTGAGTGTCTGTAGCTGCCATTAATATACGGTGTCTAAGGGATAGGAAAATGGGGTAGCGTACGCCGTGAACGACCGCGACCTTGATGACATTGCTGTAGCTCGCGATGCTGACCGTGCTGGTGCCGAGACCTTCATCCCCTATTAGCCATCTGACAGGGTGGTCCGAATGAACTTCAGCATACCGGACTCAACGTGACTGTTCTTGCCGCCGTAGCCATTGTACTCGACGCCCTTGAATTGGAGCGAAGAAATGTCACCGCAGCACTTGGTGACCTTGATGACCAGGTCGGCACCGCTGTCAATCACGTACTCCGAGCCGTTGTCAGTCCAGCCGAAGGCCGCAAAGACGACCGACGGCAGGAAGACGAGCGACCAGAGAAGAGAAAGGATCATCATGGTTGCTGATGCTCGTGTGTTGGCGTCCCAGGAGTAGAGAAACCGCAGCAGCAGTACCGTCTTTGTCGTGAAGGAGTGACAGAGGGACGGCGGCGTGTAGACTCTTTCTCGCGAGCCGGGGACCTGGGAGCCGTTCCATTATATTGGCATCAGAGCGACAGCCCTCCTTGTACTTGGCGCTGTCTTTCTCACCCGCTCCGCTCCACCAGAGACCGAAAGTCATCTCGAGAAAGACAGTTGCCGTCTCGGCCGATACTGTGTATGGGGTTTCTTGGGAACCCCCCCTCCCCTTCTCAAGCTTGTTCACTTCAATGGAGCGTCTGTAGAGAAATAGATTGAGGGTTGCGGTGTAAGCGGAGCCGGTGCGTACTCGAGCCGCCCTTGTCGTCCCATGGGAACCCTTCGGCGCTTGTGGCCCTATCAGGAGCTTCCTCCGTGATCCTGGTCCCACCGGTCTAATATCTGGATGCTGAACCCCGGCCGGTCTAAGATCTTCCCACCAAGTAGAAGAAGGGCAGGCGAACTCAAAGACGGTACGCTACTTTCTTCTGCTCATGCCCCCTCCTTCTCATCGCCTCCTTTTGCATGTTCGGGCCACCAAACTTCGCCCATGGGGAAGAAGGGGATCGTAGAATCATGAGGTCCGAATCGCTTGGGTAGGGCAGAAGTCCATGGGTCGGTGAGTTCGTGTGCAAGGCTCTCCAACCTATGTCGTCCATGAAATAGTCCGTTTCCGGGTGTGACGATCTCTTATGGTTAATTCGCTTGAGCCACCATCGAACGTATTGCTCATCTACACGGTCTTTCGAGTTAAGTTCTGCGCTAATAATGGAAGCTGACAGCTTGCACACCCTCGTTGACAAGCGGCCGGTCACTGGCAACCTACTTGCCGAACCGCATTCGGTAGTCTGTTCGTAAGGTCCACGCATGCACGCACGCCAGGATCAAACCCGCCGAGTGCCGACACTACTGTCAACTTCCCCGCTGATGGAAAATCTAAGGTATGCCGCTCCACTGCTACTCTTGGAGTTCTCGGATAAATGTTCTAATGGCCTTACTCTATCCGTGGGGGATTGCCATAGCCTGGTACGATGAGAACCTACAATGGGGTGCCATCGAGGCCAGTTATGGCTCTGCCGGCAAATCTGAGTGGTTTGCTTGGGCGGGTTGTTACCAAAACCATGGATCTGATCCGAGATGAGCCCACCTACCCTTAAACAGGCCTCACAAAGGAAACGAATCCTTGCTGAGCCTAGATGCTTTTCGACGAGCGCAGCGATGGGCAGGGAGAAGCACACTCGGGAGTCACTGACATATTCATTCCATAGGTTTGGCTTTCACTTCTGACTCAAGATGGTTGCGCCACGAACGTCCTGTTATTTATCTTCGCCTTTCGTGAACACACCAAGACATGCAAGCTCCTTAATCCGGTAACGTCGGCGTTTCAGGCACCAAACCCCAGTCCACCGTAGGCCCCGTAGGGCGTCCGCCCTGCAACCGTCAAGGCGAAGCAACTCATCGTAACCGCGATATTGAGTCAGTCGCTCACTCTTTTCAGTTGGTGCGCTATTTGGGCTTATCCATTGAATAGTGCTCAGGAAATGTGAAGTGAAGCAAGATAGAGATTGCGCCCACGCGTTCCAAAATGTTGGTTCTGGTCGCTAACCGAGAGCAGTATGGAGTCTTCTGGGTTAAGAATCGAGAGGCTTGCGAGATGAGTACGATTGGAACAGGATACTGAAGCCAGGGCCGAAAAGTGGCTTGAGCGCACGCCATCCCGCCCCCGATCATTCCGGTGGCCCGTCGACCTCACCGACCGGTCCCGTGTTTCCGGCAGCAAATGATGGCAGTGGGCTTTTGGCAGACAGTCTTCCGTGCATCATGGATTCGCCAGGAATCAATAGACTCATTTTCTCACGTACAAATCAACAGGTTCAGCCGACAGAGGTTGGCGACGAATGCATTTGTCGTCTAGACGGCTTGAATGATGTGTTAGTTGGCATAGTTGAAAGCTAAGACAAGCATATTCCATCTCAGCAAATGATGTAACGGCCCGAGAACCTCGCACCGCAACGCTCGGCTTGGCATCTGCACTATGACAGTATGGCCAATCTCTAAAGCAACGTCGCCGAGGAGTTCTTGGAGCTCCGAGGTGTGTTTTTAGGAAGGTGTTATCGAGGGCCTCCCAGATGCAGGTTATCATCAGGGCACAGTCGCTCCGGCAGTTATCGGCGTAGGATGTGTGCAGTCGCTACTCTCCTCAGGCTGAAACCCTATTTGCAGAGTAATAGGGCTGGCTTGTACACTTAGCCCAGGGCAGCATGGCCCTTGGTTGAATGTTAAGCTGCCTCATTTTGCATTTTCCTAAGTCGAATGGGAGACATGGTATCGGGGCAACGAAAGTGCTTGTCATGAATATGCTTCTGGTCGTGCAGCTGGATACTTTCGGTTCCATTGGTACTTCGCCATGAAAAGAGGGCACGAGAACTGCCAATCTTGAGGAGCTAACAAAAGCAACCTGACCTCCCTGTTATACATTTAAGGGCTCGCCGACATAGGACAGACAGGCTCGGATCTTTCTCATGAGTTCGTAAAATTTGTACATGCCTAATACACAGAAGATACGTCTCGTCTATCCATCAATCGGACACCTATACTCCCTCGCGTGCGTCTCCGCTCGGCTCTTTCCCTCAACGTCCGGTCGAGCCTGGTAGGCATCCAAGCAACTCTGATGATAAATGTGCCTGCAAGCCAGCACGACCAATGGACCCAGCGGTTGCTCTTGCGGTTTCGCAACCCCACCATCCGGCCCTCCCGCGCCTTCATTCGGTATTGTGCCGTCCCCCTCGGCTGGAGGCTCTGATGCCACCGGTGCCGCTTTGCCTTTCCCTTTTGAGTCCCCTGCGCTTTGAGACACATCGCTTGAGCTTCCAGCCTTGCTCTTGTCTCCTGTGATCATTGGGGATTTTCTCTCCGCCCTCTGCTCCTCGTCACGGGCTTGCTTCTCCTCCCAAGCCTCAAAAACATTGCCCGAGACGCCTGGGCCCCAGATACGGCGACCGCAAGCTTCGCATGTGGAGCCTCTAGGTCGCCAGCCACGTTGACGCAGTTCCACTGCCTGCTTGACGTTGACGAACAAACTTCGCTCGAGCAATCGATTGGACAGCCGAAGTATCGATTCCTCATAGGCGTATGCCGAGAATATCGAAGCTAGGACTGAACGCAGGTCTGCTAGATTTGGCGAAGAGGCCGCAGCTCGGGTGAGAAAAGATCGCAGGATACGGAGAAAAGATAGATTGCTTCCGGCATTGGTAAGCAGTCGGCCGCCCGCCTGAGCTCCTGCAGGACTCGAAGTCGTCGTCAGAAGGGCAGTGAAGGTGTGCTGTACCAGAGACCGCAAGAGTGCCAAGAGCTTCTCCTTGTCTAAACCTTCCAGTAAGTCGTGGTTCTCGTCTGTTGCGGTGCCAATTTGAGTACTGTCCAAGGTCTCGATAGTGGAGGAAAGTTGTCGTGTGGTCTGCACTGCCGCATCGATCAGGTTGAGCCAGAGCTCTTCATCTGGCGACAGCGTCTCCGTTGTGGACTTTGACTTTCGTTGCACACCGTTCACTTTCCTCGATGACTTGGTCTGGCCCTGGCATAGCCAGATACCCACATGGACATACTTTTGAAGTGCCCGTAGAGTCTCCTCCGCGCCGGACTGCAATTCATTCGAGTTTTTCTTTTGAGCGCCCGTCAGAATGCCTTGCAGAGCCGACTCAAGAGTACCGAGGTGCTTCACAAGTCTGTCCATAGCATCCTTGACCTGGCCCTCACGAGCCATTAACACCACTGCGGCATCAATAACCCCAGTCTCCTCCATAGCCGGAAGCAAGATATCGAGCCTGAGATTGACAGACTGAACCAACCCGATATAGTCTGAAACATGAGACGGGTCGTACTTGCACATGAGCTGTACGTAACGTTCGATGAGTACCCGATCCGGGTTCGTCGGGGATTCACCATCTCGCTTTTCGGGCTCGAGCAATGTTCTTAGGTAAAAGAACTGTAGCCCCGGCGACTCTTCTGCAGAATCGAGTACGTGCTGGTGGATATCAACTGGCTGGGCTGATAGAGCTTTCGCGGCCTCAAGAGGGCCTGTCTCAAGGAGTGCCCTGGCGTTGTTCTTGATTGCGTCTAGGACTTCTTGAACCTGGCGATGGTTCAGACCACTGTGTGGCCGCAGACAATCCCCGATGCATTCAAAGACGGCGTCCCGGTCAGCGGGGTCTTCGAAATAAGTTTGGACAAGCTTGCCATACTGTTTGTCAACCTTGTATTGCCTCTTAAGAATTCGATAGAACCCAGCCTTCTTGAACATGGGTATCAGCGTGTTCACGTCGGGCGGCTGGTATATCGACAGTAGGTATTCGGCGCTGAGTTGTGCGTCTTCGGCAAGATCCGTTCCAGGGTAGTTACATAGCCCCGTCAAGACCTTTGTGAGGGTTGACCCGGGGAACAATAAATACTGAGGAAACTTGGGAAGGTTGCGGGCGATAAACATGTCGAGATAGATTGTGTCCTCCGCAGCAAAGTCTGAGGGATTCATGATCTCCAGAAGGATGGAGACTATATATTGACGATCAACAGTGCGACCAAAGATTTGCTCTTCGGGCACGTCCCCCCTGATTCCGCCGTTGACTTGCTTATCAGGCGAGTCATTAAGGAATGAATCCTCGAAGGCCTCGTTGACGGCGCTCAGGAAGCTCGGGGCATCGAATTTTAGAATCAGTCTGAGATACGGGAAGGACGGTTCGGTGTGCTGGTCTGGCCGTGTGAGGAACCGGCGGTCGCTGCCCTTGGGCCATGTGATGCTATTGCCTGAAAAGAGAAACCAGTATATCTCAGCTTTAGCTTTCGACGCAACTGCATCATCCATGACTTCGCCAGTAGGGTATACTCTGCCAGTCAAGGTGTAGGAAAGGTAAGGGAACATCTTCAAGGCGTTCACGCCATATATCTCGTCATCCATGTTCCCGGAAGACATGTAGTCGCCATTGCTCATGAGAGGTACCAGCAAGGTTAGCAAGTCGATCAGTGGCGTAATATAGTCGTCCAGTGCCTGATTCCAGACGTAGATCAGCGCATCGTAAAGGCCATGCTGCTTGCACAAAAGCGTAATCTGGTCCAAGTCCAAGGTCATGGTGTCCATGTGGACAATCAGTTCCTCGAGACGACTCTCCCATCCCTTGGTAACGTAGTGTGTTACCGTGGCTTTGACAACGGCTGGAGGCACGACTGTGATTTGTTTCTCGAGAATGTAAGGCTCCATGGTTTCGAGGAAGATGCCCTCTACACCGGCGTCTTCGTACCACTCGTACATCTCTTCAAAAAGGAAATCAATATCGCCAACGCTGTAGGATGCAGTAAAACAAGTCTCGGCCAGTTCACGCAGATGAGCGTCGTCGGCAGCAGACCTGTCTTTCTGTCGCTGCGTGAAAGCGTACTTGAGTGATGCTCTCATGATTTCCATAAGCTTGTCACACACCATTGAATGCCGTAATCCGGTATCTTCAGGCAAGCCGATGGTAAGCTTATCAGCGTCGCCTGTGTAGTACGATGTTCCGAGCTGTATGGCTCCGACGTAATCACCGTTCTCCATAAGAGCAATGATCCGATCGGCCCAATTTGACAATGATCCAATCGAAACATCGTTGAACCCGAGGAGAAAGATTTTGCCCTTATAGGTCTTGAAGCTCATGTAAAACGCATCGGCCACGACACCGTGCATAGAAGTATCGTCCTCGTCCAGCTGCTCCACCAGGTTGTGCAGCTGTTTCGAGAAGAGATCGGCGTGGTAGATGAATTTGTTCATCAGATCAAACCCCTCTGTCATGCGCATGGTTCGATCTTCAAGCACGATCAAGCGCTGTGTGATAGTCAGCACGGTGAGCACCGAGCGGCTGAGCCACTGGACCGCGACTATGGCCTCTTCGCACTTCCATCTACTTCGCGACTTGAATTTGAGTGTTGGAGGCTTGTCCTTGTTCTCGGCCGGTATCTCGTCGACGTCGAGAACAGTCAAGACATTGGACCAGCAGTACACCAGTTTGACTTTGGAAATGTCGCTTCCCGTGACAGGATCTGGGACCTTGAGCTTGACCGCGGGAAACCACGCCAAGCAGCCGGTCATCGCGCTGTGGTGCGCAACGTCCTTCGGTCTGGCCGACTTGTGCTGGGTTTGAGCTACGGGTGTCGTAGATACGATGACCAATAGGTAAGGGGTCAGCATCGCCGTAAGACCCATGGTGTCAGTCGCGCGTTCCATGTTACCAAGAGGCAAAGGGCTGAATGCCAGGACGGTGCTGGGCTTGAGAGGCTTGCCAGTTGGAGGAGCTGCATTTGGATATCTTCCAAGTATCCTAGTGGTCTTCACAGTCCGGCCCAGAGATCCCGTTCCTCTCGTTGCCAGGTGTGAGAATGCCATGCCGCGGTCATCCGCCGACACAAGCGCCGTGTGCCTTGTCCCGAGAAACCCGAGATGGGTAACTGCGACGCCGGGAAGGTGACCGTCCATGGTCCGGTTCACGAGTTGCGCCTGATCTAGATGTGGTATGTGCAAGAACGGCCTTGATGCACGGTTCGTCTCCCAGGTGAAGATACTTCCGTTTGCATGGCCGCCAGCGATCGTGGTGTGATCTGCCGAAACCGCTATCGCCGTAATAGCGCCGCATTCAACCGCCTTGGTTCCAGGCCCAATAATGGTCTTCAAGATCTGGTTGTAATCAAACATTAATATTATACCTTTGCTAGTCCCCAGCACAATTGAAGCGGAGACAGCAATACAGGTAGGTGTTCCAAAGTTGCGCTTGCCAGCCTCTGAGAAGGCCTGGCCGTTGAGCTTCTTCAACCTCGTCCATCGTACGACTTCCCATGGCGGGGAGGGTGTGTCGGTGTCGTCACGGTCGAGCAGGCCCGAGCTGAGGGACGCGGAGCGGCTGTGGCCAGTGAGGAAGGCAGGAGAGGAGGACCGCGGGCTATGAATGAAGCTAGAAGAGGAGATGCGGGACTGAAAGCGGCGGTCGAAGGGTCGAAATGAGGGGGTGGGACTGCTGAGACCTGGTCGGGAGGCCACTGATGGGAGGACACTGCTGCTCGGAGAGGAGATCACGGAGCCCTGGGCCTTAGGTTAGCTCATGCATTCTTGTGTTGGGGGTTTTACTCGCCTGTATGGAGGGGGAATCATCAGGCCCCGACATCAGGGAATCGATCGGACTCCCAGCCCGCTTCGGGGCTGCATCGACCGAGCCTTCCTCAGAGACATCGTCAGCGTGCTCGCGCAAGATCTCGCGATATCGATTGGGAACAGCGCCATTCTCGATTGCTGGTGGTGTGCTGCTGGTTGTCTGGACATCATCATCCAAGAGGCCGGCGATGCCATCTTCCTCCGTCTCGGCTTTTACGGTCTCTTCATCACTGAAAGCTGGTATGTCCACGGAGGACCTGTCGTCTTGATCTGCCATTGTGTCTCCAGGTCCATCATCTCTCTCCGTCAATGGTGGGGTCATCAATGGCGGTTCATCAGGCACATGGCTTGCGGTCGCAGTCAGGTCAAAGAGTTTCGTTTTGGGTTCGGAAGCTTCGATGTATGCTTTCGGCAGGGAGGTTTCGTAGGAAGGACTCCTTGGACGGAGGATGCAAGTTGGAAATGCAGAAGCTTCATGAAAATGTGAAGTTCCCCTTGGTGGTGCGCTCCTGCTTCTGGAGCTCCTATCAGATGGAGGTTAGCTGCAACATTAACCGTCGTTCAGTTGCAATCTGCAAGAGCGCATTACGCAGCTTGGACACACACAGCCCACGCCAACCGGGCACCTTGCAGTTCCAGGTTCCAGGTTCCAGCCACCCAGAGCTCAGGCACGGACCGGGGTTTCTCCGGCGGGCCGCAGCAACGCTACAATGTACATGATCGTCGCAAACATACAAGCACTAGTGGACCTCGAGAACTTATATCACAGGTTCACGCTTTCTACCTTAGTGTCTTGCACCCACAGCTACACCCCACATACATGTGCATCACGCCAACCCCAGGTCTTACAACGATAACGCGACGTGGTCCTGAGTAACGTGCTTTCTTTCCAACCTCTCAAAGACGGCAAGCCTTCATCATGTCTTCAATTGGTCCTCAACTGCCACCACATCTCACAAAGAGAAAGCGCACACCCGATGATGAAGGCGCAGACTCACCACCGCCAAAGCATACACGCAACAACGATGAGATTGACCTAGAAGATGACTCCGATGATGATGGTTTCGGTCCCAGTGCCCCTGGCGCATCAGCCTCGAAGACATCTCTATCATCGAAACCCTCCATGGGCCCAATGCTCCCCCCCTCCAACCCAACAAACACAAGCGAGATCCCTCTCGACAACTCCGACTCTGAGGATGGCTATGGATCCTCCGCACCTCGCGTCGCATCAACAGCAGAAGCTCCCAAAACCAAGCCCTCGATAGGCCCAACACCTCCACCCAAACAAACCATAGGCCCCGCCATGCCCCCTCCAGACCACCACCCAGGTGCCGACGACGACGACGGCAACGACTCCTCCTCAGATTCCGATGACGACTACGGCCCCGCCCTTCCGTCTTCAACAATATCCGCTCAACGAGCCCAAGCTGCGGCGGCCGCGGCAGCAGCCCAAGCCTCCGTAGGTCCCGTGGCGCCTCAGCGAGACGACTGGATGCTTGCACCCCCGACACAATCAGGCTATCACGAACGTGACCCGACAAAGCTCAAGAACCGCAAGTTCGCGAGCGGCAAGTCTTCTGCCGCTGCGGCCGGGGGCGGGGGCATCAGCAGCATATGGACCGAGACCCCAGAGCAGAAGCGCAAGCGTCTTGAGGACGCCGTCCTCGGTCGCGGAGATTCGACCGCGGCGGCGGGCCCGCAGCAGCCGCGCCGTACAAAGGAGGAGGAGGAGCGCGACAGGCGCATCAGCGAGAACATTGCGACCGCACGTGGTCGGAGCATGTACGAAGAGCATCAGCAAAATAAGAAAGGAGGCACAAAGCCTGGCAAGGACGAAGAGGAGGAAGACGACCCCAGCAAGAGGGCCTTTGATAGGGAGAAGGATATGTCGTTGGGAGGCAAGATTGGGACGGCGCAGAGAAGGGAGCTGCTTAACCGGGCAAAAGACTTTGGTGGTCGTTTTCAGAAAGGTTCGTACCTTTGATAGAGTCTACGAGTCATATCACCGTCCAAATACATAGAAAGCTTTGTGAATACTGTAAATTGTCATTATTCCGTGACGATTGATGCCTATGTCGCCGCAACTCCGCCGCTCATCTTATAATTCGAGAGAAACCAAACCAAACCAAACCAAGCCAGGCCACCTACCTTATGCGATAACACAATTCCTTCTCTGCCGCATCGCAGTAGAATCGTCCCCCGTCCCCTTTTGTTCCATGTGGCCTAATCATCCTCCAGACGGGTGTATGTAAGTGTGGGTATGAAAAGTGGCGTCGTGTTGCATATATAATGCAGCCAAGATCGCAGATCTATGTTGAAATCTGCAAATTGGTCTCTGGGGTATGATGTACACGAGTAGCACAACAGTAAAAAACAAGATCGAAATTATGGCAGTCAAGAATGCAGTTACCGTGCCGCTGTAGTGGGGGTGGCCTGTGCAGTGTGCGTACCAGCCTCAAGCTGAGAGGGCGTGACATTGGTACCAGATGCAGTCGGGCTGGCAGGCTGCTGGTTGTCACCACGTCGGAGAGGGTTACGGAAGGCGGGCAGTCTGATGTTGGCCAGTAGACCGCGAGACTCGTGGTTCTCCGCAACAGGCGGAGAGGCCTGTGAGGCATTCTGGGTAGAAGAAGCAGGCGTGGCCTGCTGACGGGCGCGGCGGCGGCGGTCGACACGGTTAGCCGCCCGGTTGCCTCTATTGCGTCCAAAAACCAAGTTATTGCCACCCAGGTTGTACCAAGCGGCCGGAGGGGCGTTGGGCATGTTGGCACGGGATGCCGTGCGGCCCATGTCGCCGGTGGCGTTCGGGTCACCATCACCAGGGGTTGGGCGAGGCTTCGGGGTGTAGTAATCTGCCTTGCAGAGAGGGCAGCAAGCTCTGCGGCTGGTGAGCCACGGGTCGACGCAGACAGCATGGAAGGCGTGACCACAAGTCAGTCCGCGGATATCGTCATCGTCCTCCAGGGTGTCGATGCAGATAGCACAGGTATCGCCGCTGGTTGCCATCAACTCAGGGGGAACAGCGGCGTTGATATGCTCGTCGTCTTCCTCATCGTCATCATCGCTGTTGACGCGTTGAAGATGAGTCGCAGAAGTAGGGGTGGTTTGCGAGGGGTCGGCATTGCCAGTTGTAGTGGAAGTGTTGCCATCCTTCTTGGAGGCATCTTCGATGCTCTTTTCCGAGACAAGGGGCTTGTTGCCGGTACCAGTAGCAGGACGATCTTCTGTAGACTCACGTTCCTTTGAAGGCAGCTCGGGGACGATACCGTCGGCAGACCGAACGCTGTTTGCACGACTCGGCGGAGCGGAGACGCCTCCAGCAGTGGGCAGGCCTTCTCTCGCACGTTCACCGACCCATGTCTTGTACTTGGTCATGGGGAACTTGTCGTTGACCTCGTCCATCGTCATCAGCTTCTTCTCGCGGCGACGGCGATGCGGGCGCGGCATGTTCTCGAGGTTGATGGGCTCTCCATCTTCGTTAAGACGCATGGCGCGATTGCGGGCATTGTACCGGAAGCAGTACTTGACACCAACGATGATCCTGATGGAGAGTTAGATGTTTCGTGACATGACACACGCACACGAGTACAGAATTGGAGAAGTAGGCTGACCATAGGTTGGTAAAGACGACTCCGAAACCCAAGGCAACGAAGAACAGCAACGGCGAACTCGAATTACCACCACCGCCTCCTCCTCCACCTCCACCTGAGCTGCCGGTCGGCGATGGGTTGTCGGTAGTCGTCGCAGTCGGAGATGGGGTGTCGCCGAGAGTCGACGATGGTGCGGCCGTTGATGAAGGGGGCTCCGAGACCTGACGCACCACGAAGCGGGAAACCTCGACCAGGACCTGATCAATGACGGCCATTTTGACGACTGGCTATATGGTCCAAACCCGGGTCCAAATCCAAGTAGTCAAAAGGGAGCAAAAAAAAAGTCGAACACCAACGGTGGGTGATGCCGAAGAATTAGCTCACGGTCGGTGGAAAGTCGAGATCATGGAGGAACGAGTTGGGTATCGTAAGGGACGAAGGTTCGCCTTGACTTGAAACCGGGAAGCCGAAAACAGCGTTTCTGGACGGAAATGGTCGACCTGAACCCCCGGTCGCATGCGGCCTAGGATGGACACAGAGTCGCTGATAACTGAAGAATCCCTCTCCAAGAGGTTGCGATGGTGCAGTATGCGTCGTGGTTCCAATCCTACTCTAAGCCTGAAAGGCGTCGTGGGTAGAGGGGGATTGAAATGGAAGGAAAATCACGACAAGACGTCGGATGGGGGGTTGGTGGAAGGTTGACAAAAGCAGGCAAGAGAGTGCGGAGTGAGGGAAAGTGCAGGTGGAGTGGGATAAGTATGGAACAGTACGTGGAACTCTGACGGACAGGACAGCGACACAGCCCGGTCAACGCAAAAGTGGGTACCGAGACAGCGGGCGGGTAAGTGCGAAGGAGGAGGGCACTGAGCAGGAGGAACCCAGTCACCGACCCCAGCCCAGACACCCAAACCAGCAAGTACAGAATGGAAGGAGCGGCCAGCAACCCGCAGAGTCAGCGACGACGCAAGTACCTACGGGTGCAACCACCACCAGACAGACGGCACTACAATGTGGGAAAGACGGGGAAGGACGATGGAACGGAGCGACGGGCTGCAAGATGCAGTGGGATTGGACAGGGTCGAATACTCGAGACCGGATGCAAGGAGGTGGAGGGAGGGAAGAGTGGAGACTCACCCCCCGGGGTGAAGGGGCGGGTGCCAAAGGTGTTGGCTGCACTCACACTGTGCCGCTGCGATACCTCAGACAGTTCACATTGTGTGGGATTTCCAATCTACTTTACCTTACATAGGTATGTCGGTGCACACACCTCATTCAAGCTCTGAGTGCACCAAGAAAGGGGGAGTGTGGCATGGAGACGCGACACAGGTGTGTGTGTGTGTGTGTGTGTGCACTCTCGCCTGTTCCAGTGGGCTGGACAATGTGAGGCCAGATGCCTTGCCATAACACACCTTCCGTTCCATGCCAACTATCTGTACAGGGCCTAGGCAACTGAGTGTCCAAGGCATCCCGTCGCTGACTGACATCGACATCTCTTGGGAGTCTGAGCGAGCAATCAAGGGGCATGGACTCAAGCCCTCTCTGTCACCTCACTTCGTTTTCCAGTCGCCAGGGTGGACGGTCTAATCCCCTTTGGGTAAAATGGCAGCACACTAGGGACAGTGTGAGTGGTGGGACCGAACACTCAGACAAGCCACCATCCCATCTTTGGACTAACTCCATTACTGGTTTAAGTGTTCACATAGCAAGTGGGTTGCTTGGTTGCTACCTATCACTGAGGCGCAAAAGGTGCTACGGAGTCTTGGCTGGGGAACCAGCAAAATAGAGAGGCGGGGAGAATGAAAGAGCACCCAACGGTTCAGATAACTAAAGATGAGCCCCCTTGTCTTCAAGGTGCGTAATGAGAAAGTATTCGGAACTGAGTACACATGTGCATTTCTATACGGGGTCCATACCTACATGGCTTGGATCGAGAGTTTGCAAGTGTCCTCGAGCTCGTCCAACAGTCAGTCCCATACGAGGACCACATGCACCCAAGTGCTTGGCTGAGCCAGAGGGCTGGAGTGTGGTCTGTGATCTGCCCACGCTGTGGTGTTTGATGTTGTAGTGCTAGTCCATCTCAGCTTTCTCTCGATAGCATCCAAGCTCTGCCGTGACTGTCCCGTATTGGACAATCCGGCTCTCTGATATCCCTCGACTGGCCTGTTTGTTGTTTGCCGTCGTCATTCCACCCCCGGGAGACTGATACGACCAACCGCAACCCTGTTGGCTGCTGTTACCCTTTTCCTTGGAGGAAATCTCTCGTATGGGATCAAGGGGCACAGATGATGCTGATCTGATACGCAGGTAGAATATACTACTGGCAACAAGCCGGCAAGGGCCGCCGGGAAGAAGACACCGCGTGCCCTCGCCTCAAGGGGCCTGAAATTCCGAATAGATGTCTACACAGTCTGCATTAGCAACATCGAGGCCAGCACCGGCCGAGCCTGCCATGTGCTTCTCAGGGGTCTTTTCCCAGCTAATAACACGAACGCTTAAGGTATCAGTGCTCTGGATCCGCCAGCTTTCCCGCTCACGGTTTGAATTCGGACAACTTTTCCGCTTCCTCGGGGCCAGGGCCAAGTCCCCAGTGTTAAAAGACTACAGCACGGGCAACCGAACAAATGCCGGTCTAAGATATCAGGATCGAACCTCCTTTGTTTGTCCGTTTGTCCGTGTATCCTTCCCCTTCCAGCCACAGGCTGCACCACTGGGACGAGACGCAAAGCCGCCGCCGTCAGCTCAACTTTCGAGGTGCATCGTCACTGCCAGCCGCAACCCCGGTGCCCCAGTCCGATCCGTTGGTGATCCCCCAAAGAAAGCAGGGGGGAAGTGGGTTTGCGGCGCCCGCCCGGGTGGGAAGATGGCAAGGCCGCGACACCATGCACTTGCAGCAGCAGCAGTCCCGCAAAGAAAGAAACGAAGAAGCAAGCACCGAGCGGCCTGACGCCTGAAGCTAGGTACTCCGACATGGGTGGCGCACGACGGCTTCGTTGTCTTGTCTTTTTCGTCAACTCCTGGCCCGGGTCCAACTCGACCGCGGAGTGTGGGAATTTTGTTACCTTGTCAAACCCACACATTCTAGAATACGACAGTACGGCGGCCCTTGGGCTTGGATGACAATGGACTCGGGCCCGTGAACAACGGCAGGTGCCATTTGCAAATCGTGCGCTGCAGCCAGCGCGACCCACGAAATCCATTCAGCCACGGTTCTGCAAGGGTTGCAAAACCTACACCCTGTGCAATTACGCGTTTCTTGCTTTTCCCAGCGGTGGCACTTTGGTTTAATTCTTGCATCCCGGTCACCACGAGCTGATTTCCAACTTTACCTTGTGGGTTTCCTCTGTGTAAGATAGCCTCCTGGTAAACTGACGGATGCACTCCCGAGTCAAGCCAACGTTAAACAAGCCTTGAGTTTGTGCAACCTTGGGAGGCGCACCAGGTTGTGCCTTGCAGGCCAAGGAACCCGAGCAAGCCATCAACATGTCGGTTCTATCTCTGGTCGGTATCGCGCCAACGACTTGACACTAGGCTGCCCCGGCCCGGCCAACAACAAAACAAAAAAACAAAAAAAGAAGAAGAAAGGAACATCTTGGCTTGTCCTAAGTTTTCACCCTCCTCACCCAACCCATTAGCATACGGCGGCCGTCTTCCCGCTGTAACAAAAACGAAGCATAGCACGCACATATCCGCTCAATACGAAGTAGAAGCAAGTATTCGGCCGACTTGGACGGAATACGACGTGCAAGTCACGCCTCGTCTGGACTGCGTCTCAACGTCTCAGACATGATCAATAATAGATCCCGCATCTCAGCGCTTTGCTGCGCTGCGCTTCGACAAAGCGGTCAGTCTGAAGCTGGGCAGCAGCAATCAGTAGCTATGAACCACACACCTCTGATGACGAAAAAACCAGCGTGTGGGCAGCCGTTGCGGCCACTCATAGTTCAGATGTACTTTCGGAACGCTGGGGCCGACGACTAATCGATTTCACCTTATCTTTTGCGATGTTTCAGCTCACAGACAAAGACGACGCTTTTTTGCCACAGTGACTTCTTCAGCAGAGGGTGGACTTGAACCAAGCGTCCGTCAGTGCTACTGATTATTTGTCTACCCGAATTGACTTGTCGGGCCCAAACGTCAACATTCCAAAAACGCGCAATTTGCGGCCCTTTGGAGCGGCGTCTGTCCGGTTCGTTGTCAGTGCCATTCCACTCAGCCCAAGCGGTGCGTCGCTGTCGGTGTGCCCCCCAGGTCGACATGTCAGACACGAAAAGCGCAATAGCGCTGCGTTGGCGACACTGCACATGCATGTCTCGAATGTCTAATCAGATGCCAGGCCACGAATACTTTAAAATGTCCCCCTTCTTGTGACACCGCTTTGTCGAGTTCCGTCTCATAAGCCTTTCAAGCCCCCTGGAAACGCTCAGACGCTTTCTTCGCAAAGCTTGGCCTTCTTGGGGACCACAGCTGTGCCTGGGGGTACCCATTCAACGCTTTTGCGAACCACAAGCGTATTCTCCTCTCACCATATGCAACGGCTGGAGTGATGAGCTGGCCGTGGTAGGCCACATACTTGTTTCTCGACGGATGGAAGGAATAGTAAAGATGCAGCAGAGCTGCTGTCCGAATGGCACGATGACCTTTGGTGTGTGAAGGAGCCGCTTGATCCATGGCTAACAGAACGACAGTGTGAGAAAATAGTCTTTCTACGGTGCGTCTGGGGATTCCATAGCCGAATGCCCAGGGAGGCTGCTTCGACTGATGACGCTGACCTAAGGTGAGTGCCGTCAACTCCGGACACACCACCACTTATCCCCGCCGTTGATGACGGCAACGAGAACGGTTTGGCTCCCGTTGGCTTGGCCATAACGTTCCTCGCTATGTATCTCTAAGCCATGATTCACAACAGCGGACCCAGCTCTTCGCCTCCACGGAAGTCTTCAATGTTTGTTCTTTTCGCCGTCCATTCACATGGTAGCTACACGCCAATCCGATACGCGCTCACTCATCGAGTGTATGTGTGCGCCCTGTCACCGTAAGCCAGCAGGATGGAACGGCCCACTGGGGAAAATCCGACACACCAGCTTCGAGAACCCTCGGATGGCTGGGATAACTCAGAAGGTCCCTGGGTACAACTGGGATCATGCCATCATCGTCTGCCCTGCGACAAACGTTCTCGATCAGCGTCCGGTGGACCCTTGAAGCCCCCGACGGGCCATTTGATTTCCCTCGCCGTCGTCGGAGCAGGTTGATTGGATTGATGTGGCTGGCAGCAACC